CCTTTGGCTGCAGAGACAGCATGCTCTTCATCCTCCCTAGTTGCTCTTTTTCATTCTGTTTATATAGTTCTCTCCTCCTCTACCTGGTCCTTTTTTTTAAATGGGTGTCTCAAAATCAAAACAATGTGAAAATTATACAATGTATACTTCACCTGTATACAATGTGTGCTCCATTTTCCTCTCCCCTCCACTTGGGCAACCATGTTAATTAGTTTCTTTGCTTTCTTCCAAAAAATTTTAGGCAAATCAAGCACATACAAAGATATGTATTTTGTTTTTCTTTCTTTCTTATTTGCTATTTAAGAGATAGCATAAGTACTTATTTCTTAATGATAGCTTCATTATTTTTAAAAAGAATGTGTCTTGATGGTCTTTTTATGTGAACACATTGAAAGATTCTTCATTATTCTTGTAGCTGTATATGCCAGTGACTTCTAAAGGCATATGCTAATGACTTGCAAGTATATGTATATTCCAAATAATCTCTTTGGAGTGTGAGACTCATAGATCCAATAAAATATTGGATTCAATGTCACTTCTTTAGGGAAGATTTGTATTGATTCCATTGACTATATGTGCTCCAAAAGCACCTTATTTTTTTCTTACTATTACTGATTGTAATAATATATTTATGTATGTGATTATTTGGTTACATATATTTTTCTTAGTAGGCTGCAAATTCCTTGATGGTAAGAACCATATCTGTTTTGTTGACTAATCTATCCCCACCTCTTGACATAGTTCTTGACACATAAATGTTCAATAATTTTGAGTGAATGCATAAATGAATAAGAAAATATGTTAATAGCATAATACTCAATCTTTTACCTTATGGTATTCTACTAATCATTCTTAGGATATAGTAATCAGATTTATAAATTGTTGAAGCTAGCAGATTTAGAGAGTGTCTAAAATGACAAAATCAGAATAAAAAAAAACACACTAAATGATTAGGGCCTTTAACTCCCAGAACCAGATAAAAGATCTTTTACACAAGTTTCTTAATAAATGTGAAAGCAAATATAATTTTTCTTGTGTCCTCTTATTGATCCATTCTCAATGTCCTATATATTTCTTATATTAAAACAACAAATAAGATAGTTGATTCTGAAGACTGTACAGGTGAGGTGGTATTTGAACTGAGCTGCTGTTAGAGTCTTGGTGGGACTTGAATACATGTGAATAGGTAATGCAGATGGTACAGCTTGTGTCAGGGAGCAAAGGCTGGAAGTAGGCCGGCTTGGAAATGAAGGATCCAAAGCCAGCTCCTGTGACTTGTAGCTGTGATTCCTGCTATAGCATCTTTCTTCCCAACTTGCAGTCAGAGGAGCTGAGGCACCTGGAAACATGGAGGTGGAAGGGGACTGGAATCCAGCTTTGGCGTCAGCTCCATCCGAATTAACCATCCTGTATCCCTAGCCAGAATCAATTCTTAGAGGCTTCTGAGGTTGCCTATCAACCTGCCAGCCCTCGGGAAGGTTCAGGTGGCCCAACCCAGGCTCCAGCCAGCTATTGCCCTCAGGTACCTGTGACCAGGAGTTCCCTGTGGCTGCTCAGCATCCCCTCCTGTGCAGCCTGCTGTGGCTCTTTTGTGCCCCAGGGCCAGGGCTGAGGAGCCCGGAGCCAGCTCCCATCCCAGCAGCGTGGGCCTCAATAAGAATATAGTGTACAACCAAGAGCATATCATGGAGCATCTAGAAGGTGTCATCAATGAACCAGAGGTGGAAATGTCCCCACAAGAACTGCAGCTCCACTATTTCAAAATGCATGATTATGATGGCAATAATTTGCTTGACAGCCTAGAACTCTCCACAGCCATCACTCATGTCCATGAGGAGAATGGGAATGAACAGCCACCACCAGTGAGGGAAGCTGAACTGATTAACTTAACAGATGGTGTTTTAAGAGATGATGATAAGAACAATGATGGATACATCGACTATGCTGAATTTGCAAAGTCACTGCAATAGACATTTGGCCATGTCCTAGTTACTTGCAAATGTAACCTGTTATAATGTGACTGAACACTTTCGGTAATGCAAAGTAATTCATTTCCAACTACTGCTACAGTATTTTGAGTAAAACCTATAGTTTGTTACACTGGGGTGAGAAAAGGAAATGAAGAGAAATAAAAGAGAAATGGGACATATTGCAGTCCCCAAGTACTGTTGAATCTCTTACTATATGAGGGCCTGATTAAACAATCCTTTTGAGAACACTGGATAATTGGAGCTGTGTGCTCAGGAACCGCACTGTAGAACACTGCTGGTCTTTCAGTTTTAATCCATGCAGTTGGAAAAGTAAGAAGCTTTGCCAAGAGAACGCACTTTTCAGTAACAACGAAGGAATGGAATGAATACCAGATGTTTTCCCTGGTGGGTCCTGCCCCTTCAGGTAAATGGGGACAGTATTCTAGAAAGTTCTCCTGGCCTTCATGATCACTTGCTCTGGCCAAGTGAGTATTAGACTATTTCAAAGCCACAACACAAGAAGAATGTCACATATTAAGTCCAGCTAGTCACAGAGTATAAGAAGATTCTCTTATCTTCTGGCACTTTGGAAATGATACACCACTGAAAACCTTTTCAGTTTTTCAATATTTTATAAAACTACTACCACATCCTTATACTTTATTTCATTGATGTCTTCAACCTAGAGAAGACCTTGCATTTAAAGGTGTTCTTTATTCTCATCATTAGCAAATGTTTTAGCTTTCTTAACTCTTGTTTTTAGGGTTTCATTTTTGAAGTTTAGAAATTATTAGGAGTGTAAGGACTCATCCCTTTTGCTTGATACAGTGGAGGTAAAACAACTAGCTGGTCCTGCCTAAGTGAGAAGTGAAAAGACCATTCACCGTGCACCGTGATTAACTTGATACAAACTGTATTTAGAAGAAGTGTTGTTTAAATCAACTCTTCTGGCTTAAATATGTGAATTCCTTCAGATCAGAAAAGAATAGAAAAAGATGCCTGAAAACTCTTAACAGTGTGAATCTTATAGCTGAAAATGAGAAGCAGCAGCAAATTGTCATTTGGTTTATTGGATGTGATGGACATGCTCTGATAGAAAACTGAAATGATAGTGGAATGGGAGAGAAACTGCATAAAATTTGCTGTAAGATGAATAGAGACTTATTTTCTTTATTAAAGTATTCTTATAAGAAAACACATGTATTTGTAAAAATGGTTTCCTGTTTCAAGTATTTGTATAATCAGCTAAATTATAAACTATTCTTGTAATATCTAGTTATTTTGAAAATTTATGTAATGATTCTGGATATATGACTAATAAAACTACTGAAACAAAGAAAAAATAAAATAAAATAAAACAACAAATACTGCAAGGAAATAGCAGGAACCACCAAACTGTTATAGATTAGGAACTCTGATGTGGGATAACTCAATGCTGAAACAATTCTTAGTCCTTAAAGCTATTTAGATATAAACACATATCTTAAATGATCAAAGTTCATGATGTCATCTACTTAGAGAAGTAAATGCAAATTCATGGTTATCAAAAACTGAGCGCACAGAGCATGCTGGGAAATTCTTTTCTACTAAAGAACATTTCTTGTTGGGTGAAGAGCACAGGCTGGAAACTTTTTCAGTGATAGGTTATTTAGTCTTTAAATTTTAGTCAGTACCTTAATTTGGCAATGAGACAGTCCTCAAACTTTAAAGAGGCTAGTGTTTTTACTGAGTAATACCTGCGACCGGTCCTCAAATAGAAGTCTTTTTTTATTTTCCGTTCTTCTCTTTCAGCAATCTGTAAAGCTCCACCGTCTAGTTGAGTCACATAATAGCATTACAGTCTCTGTATGTGGGAGAAAAGGTAAGTCCCATTATTCAAGATCTGTAAATTGCCCATATGGAATCAGAAAAGGATTTAAATTTGTAATCCTGCCTTTTCCTACTACTATCATCTTCAATGCATTCTTCCCTATGCACATACCGAAGGGTTAAGAGACTTGAGATATTTTCACTGTGAAAAGAAAAACAAATTTATTGAGATAAAATTGACAGATGATACACCCATGAAACTGCCACTGCAATAAAGATACTGATTATCCATCACTCCCAAAAGTTGCCTTTTGCCTTTTTGTAATCTGACCTCTTGACCTCTCTCTACCCATCCCTATCTTCAGGCAACCAGTTTGCATGTTTATAATTTTATATAAATGGTATTGTACAGTAGACATTTTTTTGCCTTTTATAATATATTTTGGATTAATTTTATTAGGATCAAAGCCATAATTGTTTTGAAATCCATCCATTTTGTTAAGTCTATCAATAATTCATTTAATTCCTGAGTAGAACCCCACTGTATGGGTAGACCAGTTTGTTCATTTGCCTGTTGATGGAAATTTGGTTCGTTTCCAGTTTTTTGCTGTTACAAATAATGTCACTATGAACATTAGGGTGCAAGTCTTTCTATGGACATACCCTTTCATTTCTAATGGGAAAATACCTAACTGTAGAGTGGCTGGGTCTATGGTGGTAAATGTTAAACTTTTTAAGCTAACTGCCAAACTATTTTCCAAGTATTTGTGCCATTTTCCATTCTCACCGGCAGTATATGAGAGTTCCAGTTGTTCCACATTTTTGCCAGTACTTGGTCTTTTTAATTTTAGCCATCTTAATGGATGTGTGGTAATGTGTCCTTGTCTAATTTGCATTTCCTTTATGACTAATGGCATTGAAATCTTTTCAAGTCCTTATTTGCCATTTGTATGTCATCTTTGGTGAAGTGTCTGTTTAAATCTTTTATTTATTAGATTGTTTTCTAATCATTAAATTCTGAGAGTTCTTTCTAGATTATGGATACAAATCCTTTATCAGATACATGATTTGCAAATATTGTCTTTCACTCTATGACTTATCTTTTCATCCTCCTTACAATGTCTCTCAAAGGGCAAATGTTTTTACTTTTATTAAGTCCCATTTATCAATTTTTTCTTTTGTGGATCATACTTCTTGTGTCATATCTAAGACATCTTTGCCTACTCCAAGGTCATGAATATTTTCTATATTATCTTACTGTAAATAACTATTTGATAAATACCTATTCAGTAAATTGATGTGAGGTACTTTCTGAGATTGGAAAAAAACATTTTTATAAGAATACAATAGAAAAACTGGTTACTTTATGGAATAAGCAAATTAAATCCTTCTCTTTATGAAGGGTTACTAGCTGGAAACTTACCTCAAATTCCTACACATTGGGGAAATTTGTTAAAGGTTAGGATAGATTGAACAGATTTATCAGTATTTAACAACTCTGTTTGCATAAGAAATTGTAAAGTACAGGAATAGGAAATTTTCCTAAAGGATATAATAGCCCAAGCAATGAAGTAAATCAAGAAATGATTCACAATTTTCCAAATGGGATAGTTATCATGAATATAGCCCAATGGCTACAATTCTAATCTTTCTTTACCCAGCCCTCATGGGCACATAGCTGGTTCCCAGGAGGAGAGAGGACTGTAATTAACAGCTGTAACAGTTGTTTTCTTATAACACAGGAAAGCAAAGAAAAATCTGTAACATTTTGTAGTCCAAGTAGAAATGATTTGAGTCCCAAATCATTGGTGGCTAAGAGTTGGCAGTTGCTGCTGGAAAATTGGGTACTTATCAGGGTTTGTAATCAAGTTAGCTTTGGTGAGTAGGACAAGTTTTTGAATTCATACATAACTAGCAACGCTGCCACTACATTCACTTGCTGAGAGTATAGGTGAAGCCCTTGGCGGCCAGCTGATATCCATGAGGGTATTGGGTTTTTTCCCAGGTATAATGGGGATCATCCAGACTGGGCATCATTATAACGGACAGATACACTTATAATCTTTCAGGACTATCCTTTGTTCCCTGTTATAAGTTGTCATAGATCTATTCTTCTAGTTATTTCTCCTTTTGGGCATGATAGGAAGTTAACATAATAGCTGAAGTTCTGGGCACTGTGAAGTCTTCCTTCTCCATGGTCATTCTGGGACCTCTTTAAGCCATGAAATACTTGGGATTCCTTCCCAATAATAATGTGCACATCCGGTGCCCAAATTTTCTTCAACCCATTATGCCTGATAATCACAGAATAACAAACCAACACACCTATCAACAATATGATTTCTAAAAACAGTTTATAGATTTTTGAAGAGTTCTGCTTTTCCCCTGTTTGTTATATACAATTAGGAATGTACAGTCGAATTATAACTTCTAAAATAAATCATGTTTTAATATCACTCAAAATAGTTCTCTTCTGTATGGTTATGCCAAAAACTTGATGGGTTCATCTCATTCATTTTGCTTCAGACATTTAGTATTAGCTTATCAAATTTATTTTTGTATTAGTTTGTATAGATATTATATAAAATATCTATATGGTTCAAAAGTTAAATCCATATGACAGGAGAGATTCGGGGGTGGTCTAGTTCCTATCTCTCTTCTTTCTTCCTTGTGTACTCACTCTCCTTATTGTTATTTTTGTTTCTGACTTATTCTTACATTTTAAAAATGAAAATAAATTCTATGTAAATTATATGCATAGTATATATACAGAATAATGTACATATTTATACCACTATTTAGATAACAGGAGCATAACATAGACATTTAATTTATGTTTCCTTGTATGTGTGCTTTACATACTTAACTATGTTTCCTAGGGACCTTTTAATAATAGGATTTATAGATATTCTTCATTCTTTATTTTGGCTGCATAGCACCCTCTTGTGTGAAGGAACCATTGTTTATTGCATCACTTTTCTTCTGAAGGCTTTTTTTTGTCTTGTACTGTTTCAAATAGTGCTGTATAAAAAGCCTTGTGCACATGTCTTTTTGTCTTTTTGTGCCAGTCTCTTTGGTATGGGTTTTGAGAAGTAAAATTGCGGAGTCAAAGAGTAAATGCATACATACTTTTGCTAGATAGATATTGCCAAATTTCTTTTCATAGAGATTATACCCATTTGCATTTATAGCAGAAACATGTGAAGGAATCCTCATAGCCTTGGCAAACTTTAAGATTTTTCTATAGGTGAGCAATGTTACCTCATATATGTTTCTCTTTTTTTCCTTTTTCTAAGAAATATTTTAAAACTTACAGTAAAGTTGCAGGCATAATTCAAATAATTTTTTTCCTGAGCCACTTGAGAATAAGTTGCTGACATGTGGTTCCATGACTCCCACATACTTCAGTGTATATTTCATAAAGACAAGGACATTCTCCTACATAAATGACAGTGCAACTATTAATATCAGGAAGTTATTGTTGGTATAATAATAGCAACTAATGCTCAACCCCTATTCAAGTTTCACCAGTTGTATTAATGATGTTCTTTTTAGGAAAGGATTTAGGATCACACAATACTATTGTTTGCCATCTCTCTTTAATCTTCAATCTTTCCTTGATCTCTGTGACTTTGACTCCTTTGGTTATTTTGTAGAATGTCTCTCAATTTGGATTTTTTTGATATTTTCCCATAGTTAAATTCAGGTTATGCATTTTTGGCTGGAATATCACAGGCTTGAATGCTGTGTTCTCACTGCTCCTTTGTAGGTTGTACAGATTTTAAAATTGTCCTATTACTAATGATGGTAACTTCAGGTACTTAAATGCTGTCTGCCAGGTTTCTCCATTATAAGTTTACTCTTTTCCCCTTTGTAATTAATAGTTATTTGTTGAGAGATACTCTATATAAATAGGCCATCCTCTTCAAATTTTTACCTACTAGCTTTAGTATCCATTGATGTTTTTTGGCTAAATTAATTATTGTTTTGATAGTTGCCAAATGATGACTTTTTAATTTTATCTTTCCTCTTAAATTAATTAATTGTAATTTACTGTAAAGGAAAGCTATCTTTTCTTCCCATTTTATTTATTCATTTACTTATGTTATATGGACTCATGAATTCCTTTTTTTATTTGATGTACTATAGCTCAATAATCATTATTTACTTTGATGCTCAAATTGTTACAGATTTAGGCAGTGAGAGCTCTTTAACTTGGCTCTGAAACCTTTTTTGGTCTGTCCCCATCATTCCTTGAGCACTTGCTTACTTATTGGCACATGATGTCATTTTTATATAACACCTTCCTTGGCCCAGCCTTGTAACCAGCCATTTCTTTAAAGAACCCTGATCCTTTTTGGGGAGTAAATAGAATTTAGAAACCAAAACTTGGGTACTGGATGTACACATTCTTATTGGGTTTTCACAACTCCCAATGCTCTTTCAGAGGATGGAATTAGAGGAGATATATATATATATATATACACACAAAACAGACAAGGAAGAGTATTATATATGTGCATATTCTTATATACATACATGTTTACACCTGTATTATTTTTCCAGCTATTTATCTATTAAACACCATCAGTTTACACTGTTGTCTCCAACTCAAATCCAATACCACAGAGTTTATTTTAGTTTTATTTCTGTCTATATTTGTAACTTCCTTTCTTCACTGAGAAACCTGCTCTCAGCTTCATTAAATCTACTTATTCTATCAATCCTGCCCAGCTAACCCGTTTTTCATCACTTCTGATGGTGAACCCTCTCCTGCCCCTAACTCCTGTGTAGATAATGTTTTCATCCTGCTTGGGCTCCAGTATCCCACTCCACTGCCAGGGTGGGGGCCCTTCTCAGCCTTCTTGTGCTCTGACACCCTGCACCAGGCTGTGCAAATACTTGTCTGTCCTCCTTAGGTTCCAGTATCTATAGCAAGCTGCCACCTTCAACCACACTTCACCCAGCCCTGTATGTGGATGCCTATCTTGCTTAATCTTTTTATAGCTTTGGGACTAAGGAAAGAAAGAAGTAAAGGAAAGCAGGATTGAAGGAAGGAAAGAAAAAAGGAAGGGAGGAAGGAAGGAAGGAAGGAATTTTTTTTTTTAATTATAAGAATGGGCATCTTTTCAAATGTTGGACACACCACTTACATTTTGCGTGTTGTGTGGACTATCTGTTAACAACTCTAGCAATTTTGCTAAACATCTCTTTTTAGGAACTCTATACATTAGGAATATTTATCTTTTGTCTTACATGTAAGTTTCAAGCATGTTTTCTGAATTTATCTTTAGTTTATTTCTTTGCTTATTTTTTTGCCACACAGAGGTTTTTATTTTGTGTAATATAATCTTACTACTTTTTTTCCTTACTTCTCCCAGATTTTGAATCACTGTCCAGGAAGAGTCTCTTTTCTTTAACGTGCCCTGATTGCTTTTTCAGTGAATTCCAATTTACATAGATGCTGGACTGTATTTTTTGAGAAAAAACCTAATTTGACTCTTTCCTCACACTTCCAGGTGGAGTCCAAGAGCTGGAATCACGCTTCCTCGTACCTGGAGATCTATTAATTTTGACAGGGAACAAAGTGCAAATGCCATGTGATGCCATCCTGATTGATGGCAGCTGTGTGGTAGATGAGGGCATGCTGACAGGTATGGTTCTGTCTCATGGCTTACAGCCTCTGTAGTCTCTCTTGGGTTCTTCCTCTACCTGAATGATAGTGGCAAAGCATGAGGCTACTGTAGGGCCTCCCTGTTCCCACAGATCTTTATAGTCCTACTCTGGATGGTTCTGAGGTTCAAATTAAAGCTGCTTTATGTCCTTAGTTTGATATAGCCATAACTTTATGAGTGTTTAGCATTTTTTTCATGAACAAAGTGGCATGGCAACCCTGACATTTTACCTTAAAATATATTTCAGAATCATCTGTGAATTTTATGTTTGGCATTTTTATATACAATGTATTTTCAGATAATCTTGGAGGGTTTGAAACCATCAATGACATCCTTAAATCCACAGGGTCAAGTCCAAGCTCTTCCTGGGTTGGCTTGAAAATATTGAAAAGTTCATGATGTTGGATTTGGCAAATCTGCTACTTCAAAATATACACTGGGTATTTTTGACTAACGGTATTCCATTTTAAATAGCATGTTGGAGCTGGGAGGGACCCAGAGGTCATCGTGCCTCATAGATACAAAAGCTGAGATCCAGAGATAAACGACGTGCTCAGGGTCACGGTGTTCTGAGTCCTTACCCACATGTGCATTAATGAGGAGGTGTTTTGCTGGTCTTTCTGAAGATAAAGAAGAATCATAAAGGCTTTTTCAGAGATGGACTGGGAGGCTACGAACACACATTGATGTACTATGGTTCCCTTTAAAGTCCAGATCAAATCCATTTCTGGGTAGACCAAGAAGTCATGAAATAGAGATAAGAACACAACCTCTGACCTATGTAACTTCACGCCCCAAATTTTTAAATGTATGGCATTCCTTTCTCTAAGGAATCCATAGGTTTATAAAAGTCTGTTAGTGCTAGAACTTTTGCAATGCTAAACACCATTTTCCTAATGGAAGTGGCCCTGGCATAGTGGAATTTATCTCTGACATTACACTGCCCGCTCTGCAAAGACCAGTGGAAGGTTCTGTGAGCATTGTTTCTCAGAACAGATCCTAGTTACTTTCACAGCTTCATTCGCCAGCTTATGTTAGCACTTCAGTCCATTGTAGTCGACCCCTTCCACTGCACTGGTGAAAGTCACCCATGTCCCAGGGGCCAAACCCTGTGGATTCCTTAGAATTCTCTTCTTATTGACCTCTCTTGTGCTTTTGATGATTCTGACCATCTTTCCTTCTGGAAACTCTCTGTTCCCTAACTCTCCAAGATGGTGCTGTCTCTCTAAGTTCTATCACTGACTATAACACTCAGCTTCCTGTGCTGGTCCTCTTCCTCCATCTCCTTGACTGCTGGGGCTGCTCAGGGTTACGTGCTGGTCCTTTCCTCTTCTCACCCTACACTTGGTCTCTAAGTAATCTGGTCTATTCCTGTGTCTTTAATTATAGTCTGTGAGGTGATGAACTCCAATTAAATATCCTGGTCAAGACCTCTCCCCTGAACCCAATAAATATCTAATTGCCTACAAGGCTTCTCAGCACGGTCACCCCGCAAGGCATCTCCAGCTCATGGAGGCTGTAAGGTGATTCTCCCTCCTATAACCCTTATGTTGATGATGAATGCTACCCTCTGCTCATTTTCCCAAGTTGGAAACCAGGAAACCAATTTAAATTATTTTGTCTCTATGACGTGCTAATACAAAAATCTCAAGTTTCATAGCTTCTTACTCCTTTATTTCTCAAATCCAGCACTTCCTTTCTATAGCCACTGCCAACTGCCTTAGTTCAGACCTCATTCTCTCCAAGAATTGGGACTCTTGTGATCATTTCCCAACTGGATGTCCAGCTTCCAACCTCACCAGATTCCAACTCATTCCCTGTATTGCAGAGAGAATGCTCTCTTTTATATACGAATGTGATATCACTCTCCAGAAGAGAATAGTTAAATAGCTTTAAATAGCTTCTGCTTCTAGTTCCTATAGAAAAACTTCTGAACACTTAAGGATGTGCATTAAGGGCCTCCGTACTTTGGCTCCCACACAGCTCTCGTGGCCTCATATTCCCTAAGCCCGCACCCTAGACTACACAACTTGCTATTCCCTAAAGCTATTCCAGCCCATTTTAATGTCCATGCTTGATTTTGTAATTCTCATAGTATTTATAATAAATGTGACATTACACTTACTTGCTTACAGGTCTGTCTCTCACTCTGGACTACAAACCTCTTAAAAACTATGTTTCCCCTTACATCCCCAGTACCTCAGGTTGTCCCTGCCACCTGGCAGGCTAACAGCAAATGGCTGCTGTATGATAAGTGAACCTATACATGATTTAAATGAGGAAAGGTGTCCCACCCCACAAAATGAGATGCTTGTTTTGTGTAGGAGAAAGTATTCCAGTCACTAAAACTCCATTACTCAAGACGGATAGCTCGGTGTCCTGGAAAACACAGAGTGAAGCAGATTACAAACGGCATGTCCTCTTCTGTGGAACAGAGGTCGTCCAGGCCAAGGGCGCTTGCTCTGGGACCGTGAGAGCAGTGGTACTGCAAACTGGTTAGTTAGCACCTCCTTTTTTCTTTCATTATTTTAATGAAATATTTTTGCTCAGTTTCTCTAGTGCCTTAAATTTATTAGGCAAAGAGTAGCCCAGATAAGAAACCAAATATATGTAAATTGATATATTTTAAATGTGAATTACAGTATGGTATATGACTTTTAGTAAAATATAATAATACTGATGATAATAATAATTGGTATTCATGTGCTCTGCAGTTTATAGATTATTTTCATGTAATCCAACCAGCACAGCAAAGATGCCTGTCCCCTTCGTACATGAAAAGGCTGCGGCTCACACAATTTGAATGAAATTAAGAAGAGCACACAGCCAGTCACTGACAGAGCTGGGCCAGAACTGAGGTCTTTGAACCCCAAATTCCAAGTTCTTTCTAGGCAGGGCTAGTATTAGAAACCGAGTCCATTGGTATTTACTGGGCCATTGAGTCTAAATTCAAGTGATGTGCATGTGTGTATTCACGAGTTGTTCCCTTAAAGTGAAAGCTGTATTTGAAGAAGCTGCGCTCTGCCTTCAGTGTGGTGGTTTCCTGTCTGTGGGATGCACTGGAATGGAAAATAAGGGAGGGAAGAGCAGAGACTAACAGGCTCTGAAATGGGCAAAGTATTTCCATTCTAGTACCTAAGGTATTTTCCCAATTATTCTTTAATTGTGTTTGGGTTTAAACACTGTTTAAATATCCCTAGAGGAAAACAAAGGTGATGTTGAGGTTTAGAGGAGCCCTGGCAGTAGGATTTGTCACCCTGAGGATGTAGCGTGTGTGTTTGTTGCTTCAGGATTCAACACTGCAAAGGGGGAACTCGTGAGATCCATTCTCTATCCCAAGCCGATGAATTTTAAGCTCTACAGAGATGCTGTCAGGTTCCTTCTGTGCCTCGTAGGAACAGCCACCATTGGGATGATCTATACGCTGTGTGTCTATGTGCTCAGTGGGGTAAGCTGCTTTTGTTCTTTTACTGCATTCACACACTCATCTACATATATTTTATGCTGTACATGTTGACCTTAACTTAGAGCCTGGTTTACAAACCTGGGAAACAAAGCCAAACACTGAAACCTGCTTATAGACTCTTATTTCTCCAATATAAGCAATTAATCATAAGTTAATTAGTTCCATAATAGCAATCAAATCTAAATATTCTGTTTATTGATAGATCAACATGCCTCTATTCCTGCACACTTGTCCTTATGCTATTTTTCATTTTCAATCTGAGAATATATTTATTCCAATAATCTAATATTTTGTAGCTGTTAAATGACAGATTTAAAATAAAACCCAGATACACAACGTTGGTAAGGTCATGGGAAGCTGGTACATTGTTCTCTGCTGGTAGCAGTATGAATTATGATAAGCCTTTTCATTGAACTTTGGCAAAACATATTTAAAGACATAAACATGTTCATTTTCTTTGACCCACTCATATCATTTCTAGGAATTTGACCTCATGAAGTAAACAAAAGAAGGAAAAAAGTCATATGTACAAAGCTGTTCATGACCAATTTAACTGTAATTGCCTAAGAGTGACTTTAACCCCCAGGAACCTCCCAAGGAGGTGGTGAAGAAAGCCCTTGATGTCATCACAATTGCCGTTCCTCCTGCTCTACCTGCTGCTCTGACCACAGGCATTATTTATGCCCAGAGGAGGCTGAAGAAGAGAGGCATCTTTTGCATCAGCCCCCAGAGGATCAATGTATGCGGACAATTAAACCTTATCTGCTTTGACAAGGTATGTATGTTTCATGCTCATATTCATGGCCATTTTACCATCACTCATCATGTAGGTGCTTTATACTTTTGTGAGGCAGGACACAGGTTTGAATACCTGCCTTCATTTTATGTCTGGTTGGCTTTGTGATCTAGGAAAGATACACCTCTTGAGCGCTCAGATTCTGGCGTTCAGAGGAGAGAGAGTGGGTACGGAATAGTTGAATCTTTTACGGTCCTTCCAGCTCCAGTATTCTATAAAATAAAATTAATTTAAATAGCATTCGGTCCCTCCACAGTCAAAACCTTCATATAAAGAACACATTAATGAATAAGAAAGAATAGCTGTGTTTTACTATGAGACTTGGTTACAGGAAAGCCCCAATCAAATCCTTACTGTATCTTCCCAACTGCAGGACACTGTTTAAAATTATCCTTGATTGTATGTTAGTTATTCCCAACCAGCTTCTTTGTTTACCTTCCTTTGAGTGTATTCTTTTAGTCTATGCACACATATACTGGAGTGAAAGGGGGAAGATGTTAAGAGGATAAGATGGAGTTGTAGGCTGTTTTATACCCAGGTCTTAATTGATAAAGGTGACTGAAGACAAGTTTAATGTTACTCACAGTACCCCTAGTAAGGAGAGGCATGGCTCAGCATGCAGGGCTCTAGGAGGAAAGCCAAGTTTTGGTCAGGAAGCAAAGTAGGAATGAGGGAGACTTTATTGGGGTTTCTGCAGGGAAGGCAGGGCAGGGCAGGGTAAGCAGCTTACAGCTGGCTGGTTTGAAGGATGTCAGTGTGTTTTGGGCTATAAGTATGGTCTGTAGTTGTATGGTACTTGACCCTGGATGATAAAGGCAGAGGAATGTTGTCTCCTGAGCAGTATTAGTCAGATAAGATTAGTTTGCATGCTGTGATTGATTAGGTGTGCTGTGTCCCTTACTGTCACTAAGGACTGGCTAGGTCTGGAGAGGCAGGATCTCCCCAGTCAGAAAGGTCTTTAAGATGTCAAACCAGATGGTGACTACACTCACCATGGTATTTCATAATGTATTCAATTATGGAATCATAATGTTGTACACCTGAACCTAATATAACATTGTATATCAACTATGTTTCAATTAAAAATGTCAAAGCATTGTAGTATACAGAAAATTAAAAAAATATATACACCACCTGCATTGCAGGCAGCTAAATATGGGCAAAGGCATGGAGTCAGGAAAGCAGTAGAGTATGGTGTTGACCAGAGCAAAACATCAGTAATGTTTGTGCACCTTGAATGTCTGGCTAAGAAATTCTTTTATATACTCATTAGGTGGGAGAGAGCCATTGATAGTATGTATTCTTTCTTTTTTAGTTGTTGCCCTCCTTCTCATTATTTTTTATTGTGAAAAAATATATGTAAGATAGAATTTACCATTTTTACCATTTTTTGAGTTGCTTTAAGTGCATTCACATTGTTGTGCAACCATCACTATCATCCATCTCCAGAACATTTTCCATCTTCCCAAACTGAAACCCTGTACTCATTAAATAATTCACCGAAGTTTTTGATAGCAGAGAATTAATGGCATCTGATTCACCAAGAATAGAAAGTTAACATGGCTCTTGCCACCATTTCAATATTATTTTGTGATCAAACTAGCATCATAAGGAAAGATATTCTATTTATGGGATTATCTCATCATACTTGGAAAAAAACAGGATAGGAATTTTATAAAAATGGTAATAATTTTGAGCATCATTATAATTAGCTTTTACTCTAAATCAGATATTATATTAAACACTTTATGTGTGTTATCTCATTTAATCTTCACATTGACCCTATATGATTATGACCATGTTACAGATAAGGGCTCTGATGTTAAGAAGGATTAAATAATTTGCCTAGGTCATACAGCTGGTGTTTTAAATTAGTCCAAGCTCTTCATCATTATACTACACTAAGAGAAATCCCATCAAGCAACTTTTTAATTTTTTTACCAAATAGGTGTCAAGTAGCAAGCCATTTCTTTAGAACAGTGAAAAATTCTACTCCTTTCACTTATTTATGATGACATACTTTCATCTTCTGCTATAAAACTGGGACTCACCATTTTATAGCTGTCAGAGGTTTACCAAGGACTTTCCCATCCATTCAGTCTACCATTAGATCCTCAAAACAAGCCTCTGAAATATATAAAGTAGATAAGGTTTTCTTTCTTTTACTGCTGAGAACACTAAAGTTCAAAGAGACTGAATGTCAGCTCATCATACAACTGGCATGAGCTTGTCAAGGCTTTTGCCCACGACTCCTGGTCGTGTCCTTCCTTGAAGTACTGATCTAGGTGATATATTTGTGACATAAATTTTCCTGTTAAAACATACCTTACTGGTCTTCACTGTGGGGCTTCTGTATTCAGAGTAAATGGAGTGGTTGTTTCTGTTTAGACAGGCACCTTAACCAGGGATGGCCTGGATCTTTGGGGAGTCGTGCCCTGCGATAGGAACGGGTGAGTATCTTAAACTAAATGCATTGTAGTTTCTCTTTTCCCAGAACTCCTTGTTTTCTCCTGAAAACTAATAATGGAGATATTTTGGCTCTGTTTTTGGCGAGCAGAGGTTGCCAGAATATCTTCATTTAATTTCTCCTGTTGAATACTTCCAAGTCTCACTAAAACATGCACATTTCCTCCCACACCAGCCCCTGCTTCATGTCACTGACTCTCAAACCCAGGAGATGAAGGGGAAGTTTTCATGCTTGCTGTATTCAAATCCTTGCTAAAATGTAATTTTGCTGTCAGCATATTAGTTAGTGGCCTGAAGTTGGCCTGGTGTGCCAATTGGACAGTACTAGGACACTGTCCTTCAGGAGATGCCATTTCTCATACACACTGGAGCCTCTCAGCGAGCTAGCACAAAGAACACTGCACTGACTTGTGCATGCTGCATGTCAGGAAGAGGGACATCGGTGGAACTGTAGCTAATGTACTCATTTTCCTTGGTATTCTAGTCCTGGGATCTCTATGTTCTGGCTGCTGGAAGCGCCTCTTCTCTGGCTATAAAAGACTCAGTTTTGACAGTTTTAAGCTCCTGTGGTAAAGATTTGCATGTCCCTGTCCTGTGGCCCCCTTGTGGCCATGTCTGAGTTTGCTTCTCTCTGCCTCCTCCCTAGTGTGAATGGAACACCAAACATTTGACATTTACATATATATGTATTTTAATGAAAGTATTTTCCTCTCACACAGCCAAGTTACACAAGCATCTTATACATCATGGTTCTTCTGAATATGCAGATGATGTACAGTTTATCCATACAATATTTTAATTACATATGTTTAATGCATTTTCATATTAAAATACACTTATAATTTAGTCTATTTCCTGGGTTTAAAAAGCTAATCTTGGTGTTTCTAATCACTTTAGTCTACAGAAGCAGCCTCTTACAAGGATTAAGCTTTCTCAAGTTCTTTTCATTTTCCCTTGAAGATAGATTTACATGCCTACCTCGTCTCCTTATTCATTAGTATTTGTTTGTTTCAGCTTCTACAAAAAATGTATGCATTTATTCAAACATATGAGCATACTGAGAGCAGTCTTTTTATTATTTATATTTGTGTCCCTAATCCTGCAGCATTCTACCAGGCACACAGTAGGTGAACACAGTACATTCATCTGTATGACCTAAATATGTTCATCTTTTGAGTGGTCTTCTACTTCTTGAACTGACACCATCTTTTCCACAAAACCATCTGTTTCTAAAAGAAACTTACCAAATTTAAATAAAAACAATTTATAGGCTGTTTAGGTTATTGGTTGGTTAAATTAGGCCACCCACTCTTCCCTCCTCCCCTCTTTTTTCCAAAAAAGTTAAAGTTGGCTTCAAATGACTAAATGAACAGTTTAAAATTTAAAAGAAGTCATCATCAAATTTAATTAATAACATTAAAGAAAATAGACTCAATTCTAGGTAAGGAATCAGCACATTACAGGCTATTAAATATCTTCTTGTAAAAGGTGGTTCTTCTCACCTTAATTATTAATCCTTATCTTTTCCAAAAAGGACCTGCCCAAAGCACCAGATACTTCAAGAACCATCAGATCACTACCAGGGCTACCTGAGCTTGATAAATCATAAATATTCAAGCAGAAATACAAGGACAAGGATGAGAGAGAGTTCTGCCTATTTGTTGTGCTAACCAGAGACAGGCCCAATTCTCAGGAACTCAGAATTACACACTGGTGACAGTGTGTGTGCCATCTTAAAAATAAGATTTTTTTTCCTGATCTGCGTTTTCTTTTTGGTATCAGCTGAAGCTTCCATGTTAATCACGTTGCTAGTGATTGTTTCCTTTTAGATGTTTATTAAAATACTGGGTGACATGTTGTAAACCACTAAGATAACTTGATCTTTCGATAAATGAGAACAGAAATGATCAACAGTGTCAGTAATCAGCCAAGAGGTTTCTGAACTCTTTGGGAAGCTTGAATGAGGAAGCCAGCAAGAAATATGGCTGTATTATGAGTTAACTCTGTGATGTGGATGTTTTCAAGAACAAGAGGCTGGAGCAACCTAACTCTGAATTTAAAGAAATGCGGTGTGCATATCATAAGAAGTAGTCTGATCTGGAACCACATTTTAAGACAAACTATGACCAAAAAAAAAAAAAAGCTTTTCTAAGAAAGTGATAGATCTAAGAAAGTGATAGCTAGAGGTTCCTGTGTGACCCCAGAGGAAGATAGGATAGGGTTGTGGGGTACAGTTGAGCTGATCCCCAAATCTGAAAGCAGTTGAGGAGGAGGAGAGCAAGTAGATTCTGACTGGCTCCAAGAAGGAGTTTTTTGCCTCCAGGGAGGAAGTACCCTCTGCCACTCACAGGTTCAAGTAGAATGGGCTGCTGTGTGAGTCACCTACTGCACATTTAAGAAGGGACTGACAATGAACGAGGTTGCAAAGGACATTCCTCTAGTGGGCTCAAGGATGAACCTGATGTCTTCAACTCTAAATTAGTGGAAAAACCCTGAATATGACATTTGAGTTGTATTGGGCAGGGTGTGGATGTCCAGAGGAAGCCATGGTGGTGATGGCTGTGGTACGAACACTAGATATCAGAATGGAAGTGGGCATGCAGTGTGCTTTTCAAATTGCTTTAAAAAATTTTTTTTACCATTACCGTCTCCCAGATTTCCAGTAACCAACTCATTCATTTATTCACTTATACATTTATTGACTATGTACTGTGGACAAAACATCAGATATGCTGGAGTGAGAGAGATAGAAACTACATCTCTGCCCTAGAAGATTGACTGAGGGGGCTGCACATAGACACAAACACTATAGTATCGGCTAGCTGGTTCTGTCTCAGCACTGGAAATGAAGTGGTTTGGTAGTTGGGGAGGGAGAGAATGTGCTTCAAATTAAGGGTGGTAATTCTAGTTCTTTCCATACCTCTGGAATTGAATCAGTACCAGAGAAAGAGTAAGAAAAAGAGGGAGAAAGAGCTTGAAAGGACTTCAGAGACTTTGTGCATGCTCATTAAACTCATGGAAGGATGATGGCTAAAGGAAGCCTGTGAATTTGCCAGGGTTGGAGGGGCGGGAAAGTGAGTACTAATGTAACCAAGTGTATTAAATTATTTTGTAAAAAGGATACTCACTTCTAGCAGCTCCATTTTGGCATGGAGCAGGAGGACTGAAACCCTTTCTTTTTTCTTTTTTAGCTTCCAGGATGTCCACAGCTTTGCCTCGGCTGGGACTTTGCCATGGGGCCCTCTGTGTGCAGCCATGGCCAGCTGCCACTCTCTGATTCTTCTCGATGGGACCATCCAGGGAGACCCCTTGGATCTCAAAATGTTTGAAGCCACTACGTGGGTAAGGCTCTGCCCTGAAGAGAACTTAAGAAGTTTCTTCAATGTCAGAGCAACACAGATTTTATCATAGTTTTAAATACTTACAAAATGTGAGGTCTCCAATATAGAGTACATGTAGCAGTGACGGACAAACTAATTTATGCCTGGTTTCTGTGTCTGTACAACACAGCTAGTAATAGTATCTCTATCATAGCGTTATTCTGAGGATTAAATGGAATGATGCATTTAAACAAATCCCTGATAATGTGCCTGGCACATAGTACAGGTTCAATAGTATTAACATAATTATAGTTACTATCCAACTCTTCAAAATGTAGTATGAGCAATGTCTGGTTTCAAAGTTTTCTAGATTATGGAGATTAGGAAACATCACTGTTCCCACGGTTCAGGATGACTTACTGTTAACAAGAGTTTTTATTCCAATTAATTTAATGTTGGTTTTGTTTTTAAGACTGGAAATAATGAAAAAGAAATCCATGAAAGGGCTTTTATTGAGAATCCGAAGAAGATTTAAAAGCAAATTGTGCAGTCAGGATGAGGAATCTCGCTCTCCTGATTCTAGTTTCAGTTCTGCTCTGACTGCTTGACCCTGTGAACTTACCTCTTCTGCTGGGGCTTTGGCTCCCATGACCTTAAAATAAGGGGACTGAATTAAATCAAAAACATTTGCATAAAGCAAACAAAACAAAACAAAGCAAAAAATCTGGAAGCTTTTCATAAAAGGAAACCTTATTCAGAACCTTCTGTGAAAAACAGAGTTGCTCTGGTTGAGATAGAAGATGGGGAGAAAAGATTAAGTTTAGGGCACATGATTCCCATCTACTTAGGCACAGCCCACCTCTACCCTTGAAGCCTGGACAGCTCTGGGCCCCTGTGATCCATGTGTGAGACCCACTGAAGAAGACAATCTTCAGGGACCCTTCCAGCTCTAATAGGGCATGATTCTATAGCAATCTGAGGGAGCTTTGCCAGTCATCCATCCTTTCTAGATTACTGTTTCTGTATCTTTAAGTAGGAATTATAATTTCCTCTCTGAGATTTTTTTCAGCCACTCAATGATATGATTACAAAGCGTTTCAACATCTTTGGGTTAAAGATTCCTTTGACTATAATTGAAGGTCATTATTCTAGCAATTGTTGAGTGTTTACTGAACACTGGCCATGTACATCACGATCCTTGGCCTGCCTGGCCCTGAGGACCATTGATCTAAGTTAGACAGAGGGAAGAGCAGGAACAGCAGTGAGCACCAGAGGAGAGGACAGTGAGGTGCTTGCCTCCACACAATAAGCCTGGCTGTCCAAGCTCACTATTTTTAAGTTAAGCTCTTCATAAATGGAGAATGAGCCTTTATACAACACATTGCAATATGAGAAAGCGGGATAAATTGTATGAGGAATTCCAAAATGACTGCCCTCCAAGTTCTGCAGCATTTCCAATGCATTATTTTCTTCTGTGGTGTAATAAGTCTGGTTCACTGCCCGTCTAGTTGGGGGAGGAGACAATAAGAATACATTGAGGTGGCCTGAGGATTTTCTCAAGGGGCAGATTTGAGCATAGAATCAGTGGACGAAGAAATACATCTCTACAATGAAATATCTGATTTGTGAAATAGGAAATGGCTATTTCTGGAGATGATTTCCACATCAAGGGAGTGCCAGCACATGCCATGGTAGTTAAGCCCTGCAGAACATCCAGCCAGGTAAGCCTTGACTGCTATCCACCCTACAAGAGCCAAACTTCAAGGCAAAGTCCCATTAGGCCCACAGTTGTGGAAGGTCGCAGATGTGTCTTCTTTGAACTCCATATGTGAAAATTGTGAGACCTTGTCTCCCTCATTTGCTGAAATAAGGATTGAGGAAGGAGTAGTTAATTCCCAATAGCTAGAAGCTGTGTTGGTCTGTCCCTCTCCATTTCCCATCCCTCAACCAGGTCCCTGTGGAAGGAATTGCAATCCTGCATCAGTTCCCATTCTCATCAGCACTACAGAGGATGACAGTCATTGTCCAAGAGATGGGGGGTGACCGGCTGGCATTCATGAAAGGTGCACCAGAGAGGGTGGCCAGCTTTTGCCAACCTGAGACAGGTAAGTGAATTGACTTGTATTAGAACTGGCAAATCTGTATTTCCAGACCAAACATGCCCCCTCAGCACTCAATGTTATGAGTCCAGTTGCCCACTGGTCATTGCCAAATGGGTGACTCATTGGCATCCCAATCACAATACCAAAATCAAGCTTGCCTTTTTTCACTTTTTGTATTTCCCATCTTGGTGAATGGTACCAGCATTGCCCCCTTCTCTCCCCCAAATTAATTTCCTCCCTGATTTCTCCCTCTTCCTCAGTGCCTCTGTCTTATCTGTCACTCCTCCAGGTCAGACCTTCTTCATCCCTCCACTGGATCACTTCAGTACTGGGCAAATTGACACCCTGTTCCTAGGCTCTCCTGCTTTGATTAATTTTCCCACTGTGACAAGACTGGTTTTTCCATCCCATAGTATAACCACGTTGTCACTTTCCTGCCTTTATCCTTTTGATTCCTTCCCATAGGCTTCCAGATAATCTCAAACTCCTTTAGAATCATATATAAGGCCTTCACGACTGACTCCTATCAAACTTTCCAGATACACCGTACCACTTCTGTCCTCACATCTTGTGCTTCCCCCTGAGCTGAACTAACTACTCAAGACTTGCTGTCTCACATCTCCACACCTGAGCACATGATGCTCCCCCAGCCAAAATGCCCTTTCTTCTCCTTTACCTGACTACTTCCTCCTAGCCTGACATATGCCACCCATGAGCTCCCACAGCACACCACAATTGCCTACTTCATAACCACGACCTCATTTGATTGCATTGCTGGCCTATTGCCTGTTACCCTGCTAGACAGAGACCCTTAGAGTGGACTTGCTGTTTATGCTGTGCAGAGCCAATGACTGACACATAGTAATTAGTCTTTTAATAAGTATTTGTTAAACTGGAGAAAATGAATTATACATGTTTCTCATCTCTTTTTTTTTTTTGAATGCTTTCTTCTCATTTCAGTTTCATTGGAACCCAAGAGGTTCACTCCAAAAATGTGATTATATTTAGGGTTCCCAGTTACTTGTTTGTGTATCTTTTTAGAGGTGTGTTTTCCTGGGAAAGTATTGGATCTGTTTGTAAAGAATTTCTTCACCATTACCAGCTAAGTAAATGTTACATACTAATCTGGTATTCTTTTTTGAACAGTACCAACTAGTTTTGTCAGTGAACTTCAGATTTATACAACACAAGGTTTCCGGGTCATAGCACTAGCCTACAAAAAGTTGGAAATGAATCATCACACCACTGCCTTGACAAGGTAAGTGGGGAGGACTTTGATGAAGCAGAATGGTGGAAAGATGCATCAAACTGAGCAGTGGATTCAGCAACATAGCGTACTGGATTTGTGTGCATGAAATGTCTCTGAACCTGGAAAGGGGGACTATCATCATCCCTGGCCTTCCTAAATCACAAAGCTGATGTGAACAAGGGAGAATTTATGAGGAATAGCTGTATAAACTAAAATATTATGTGATTGTACAGCTTTGTGAAAACAGATGGATGAACATAACCTGTGTTTCAGAGAGTTTAAAATTGTGGCCATGCCCCAATTTGAACCAAATACAAGTAGCTGATTTTTTATTATAGCTGGTGAAAATTAGCTGAGAGTTGGAAAACAACATTTATCTGAAAAAAGTGCTTGATAAAATTTCACTCATCTGTTGGAGTATAACAACAAAGTAAAAACTGAAGGAACAAAACAGCAGCAGACTCACAGAACCCAAGAAGGGACTAGCAGTTACCAAAGAGAAAGGGGTTGGGGAGGATGGGTGGGAAAGGAGGGAGAAGGGGATTAAGGGTGTTATGATTAGTGCACATAATATGGGGGGGGCATGAGGAAGGCAGTATAGCAGAGAGAAGACAAGTAGTAACTTTATAGCATCTTAGTACACTGATGGACAGTGACTGTAATGGGGTATGTGGGGGGGACTTGGTAATAGGGGGGAATGTAGTAACCACAGTGTTGCTCATGTGAAACCTGAGCCTAAGATACCTTAATTAAAAATAAATAAATAAACAAATACACAAGTTAATGAAACAAAAAAATGTAGCTTGGACTTAAAACATAGTCCAGGTAATGTTTGTAGAAAAACAAGAAACATTCATAGGGGATCATCAAGCCAAAATGGACCGGAGTACTTATTAGCTCAAATTGATGTTTTATTTTTCACTATTTTTAGGCTATCATGTTTATTCCATTTTCAGTTCCCCTCCCTCCTCCTGTCCAATATTCTATGTCAGCCTCTATTGGTAACACTGCTAAGGAGATCAAGGCTCATCTTAATATTTAGGATTTGAAGCTTGGGAAGTCTAACATAATTTGTGTTCAACCCTGTCAGACTCAATACTGTCATATTATAACTATATTTTATACCACTTCCTTTAATATACTAAAATAAAATTTAAATTTAACATGATCAGCATATGTTCTCTATAAAAAATAAATACAATGTTCTCCTATGTAGTAAAAATAAAATCAAAACATGCAATATATTACAAAAAGTAACAGTCCAATGAATGCTCAGCCAACTCCACTAAAAAAAAATGGAGCAACACCTGTGTGCCGAGTTGCACCTGTGTGTACAATTGTTAGGTATATTGTGCTCTAATTAGGGATTAGCATCTTTCTGTTGTGTGCAACGGTTTCTCAGAGTGCTTCCAGCACTGATTTCTTTGAGGGTTCTCAGCCCACTTTATGTGTATTTCATACTTTAAAAATTGCGTGGATTCTAAGAACATGAATTGCAATCACAGGGATGACAATCTTCCCTTTGTATTACCTTCCCCATTCTTTCAGGAGGAGGCAAAATGTCTGTACAGGAAGCAGAAAAAGATGGTGTGCTATTCTAAGTTGCAGAACTTGAGACCCCTCAAGTGACTACTTCTCTGTATTTCTTGGCTCAGATTGAATACTCATGAAAAAAGAGTCATGTAAGGTTAAAGCTAGAAGAGATCTTGGAGATATATTAGTTTTACCACCTTTTCTTAAAAAAGAAGGAAGAAATTACCATAAAAAAAAGGATTTACCCAGCCAGGTAGTGGCGAAGCTAGAACTGGAACTCTGGTCTCCTGATTATTGTGTGTTGAACTCTATGAAGGCCATGGACCAGAAGAACAAGAAATATGAGGGTCAGAGTGGGTTTCAAACTATGTCACAGTTGACCCTGCAGCCATTTTCTTGGCCCAGTCTTGTGCCTTATGGCTGGGCTCATGTCATATCCTTTCTGAAAATCTCTAAAGCCTGAGGACTGGGAACAGGGGCCTCTAGAAAGATTGGAGGGTCTCAGTTAGGTACCAACTAAGTTATCCTTCAAAGACCAGCTCAAATATCACCTCCTCCAGGAAGGCTTCTCCAATTACTCCACCCAGAAATGATTACAACTCCCTCTTGGACTCCATAGGATTTTTACTTTTACAGCACCAAGCTACTTTTCCCAGCCTTCCATATAACTGAGGTGGTCAGATTTAATATTGTCCTCTTGGTTCAACATGAAATCTCTTGAGTCAAGTCAAGGGTTATTACCATCTCTGCTTATTCTCCCCTCTTTTCCTTAGCTTGTTCCTTGCACTTACTTAGGTATTCAGTCAATGGTCATTGACTTAACTGACTTTGGTTTCCAAGAAAACCCTCTGGCAGTGGAATTTCTGAAAGAGGAAGTGAATGTTCATAGGTTGCATTGCAAAAATGGCCACACCAGGCACCAGAGCATTTCAACTAAGCAAACATTTGCTGAGCACCTCTGGCTTGGGCACTACATGGCTGTTGCAGAACTTTTTACTGAACTAGGAAGGCTTGCCTTTAAGGAGTTGAGATAGACAAATCAGATAGCAAGAATAATATACAGACAAATGAAACAGAAGCCAAACTGAGGTAGAAGTAACATGCTGAGGGAGCAATTATTTCTATCTGGGGAGGCGCATGTAAGTTGGACGTCAAATACATAAACGAAGGATTTCAATGGCAGTTTATGGAGAATTATAACCTTTTCCATGAAATAAGGAAGATTGTCTTATGACAGTCTAGAGCAAATGTTTACAGTTGATAGAGTACAGAGCATATCCATAGTGTGTGATCCAACTTGGCTAGAAGTTTGGGGGAGTGAAGACTTTACTCATAGATGAAGATGGAAAGGCAGTTTGGAACCAGATTATAGAGAGACTTCAATGACAGATTCAGGAATAGAAAATGCCTGAGGTGAATGGTTCAACCTGTGTCTACTTGCTTTCACTCTGGCAGAGATGTTAGCAGTGTCATAGGGACATCACTAACGCTAGTCCATGCCCCTGGCTGATGTGAGGCCCAGCATTAGGATGCACATAGCAAAAAGGTAAGATGGCTTTTCTGGGTGCTGCTTTCCTCTGCATTTGGGACAGAATCAGCTGGCATCTTGCTCTTGTGTCTGCTATAGGGGTCTGGGTCACAGATTAAGGAATCATGGAAACCCCAAATCCACATGTTCTCACTTGCACTTGGTCCTGTGGGATGTCTTAGAAATGTTCTGTGGTGGACAGAAGCCTCAGAAGCCTCACTTACTTGCAGACATTCACAATTTATGCAGAATAATGGTACCAGCTGAGGGAGAAAGAGGGGAGGAGCTTGACCAAAAAAGAGGTGCTTTTCTGAGATCATGGCCTCACACCTCCCAGGGCTAACATGCATTGATTATAGCCTTAGTTCCTGGAGAAGCTGGCATTTTATTTTATTGTTCTTGTGCCTCACTTGTATTTCATGATGTTTTGCACCAGAGCTGAAACTCCTCTCTGATGGTTGCTCACAGGTGAAGTGATGCAGATAAGGCTAGCCACGGCAGAAGGAAGAGAACTTGGGGTAATTTAGGTCTTTCTCTACAAAGGTTATGGCAAATGTTTTGTTTAATCAATATTCTCTCTTCCTGTTGATTCAGTCAGAGTAAATGTCAAGTATCCTTTGGGTTGCCTTCTGTCTACTTTCCAGATAGTTCCTGGAACGTATCCAATCTCTAAGGAATCTAAGGATTGGTGCTTCAATGGGTAAATGGGACTCAATCTGACATGAAGATACTTGGCTTTGTTTGGTTATGGTTTTGGCTCTTGTAAGAAAGACTACACTGTGCTATTTCTATTCAATTTCATATATATATATAATATATACATGTTTCCAGGGACAAAGTAGAATCAGACCTGATATTTCTGGGATTGCTGATCTTGGAGAATCGGCTAAAGGAAGAGACAAAACCTGTCCTGGAAGAGCTCATCTCAGCCCGGATAAGGACTGTAATGGTCACAGGTACAGCACAAAGTGTACAGTAGGAGTTTGATGGTGAAATAAACAGAGATTCACTCAATTAACAAATATCATCGACTACCTGGTATGGGCAAGACACCATTCTTCATGCTGGAGACAGGCAAGAAAAAAGGCAAAGTTGGAGTCTCACTGAGCTTTCATTCAGGTGGTAGGAGATGGAAGAAAACCTGTCAATCAGTCAATCAAATAAGTAGCTAGTAGTAAAAGTATGTAAAACAAAACAGAGTGATGTGGTAAAGTGTGACTAGTCACTTTAGGTGGGGTGTCCTCTCTGAGAGAGGACATTTGAGATAACACCTGAATGAGGGGGAAATATGAGCCATGCAAAGATGAAGATTTTTATGTTAAATGTTAGGAAAAGATGAATGCTTAGTCAGTGTAGTCTGTAAGGTGCCCTGATGGCCCATCAGTATGAGATCTGTGAGTCCCATGATAAAAACGCTGCCCCCTTCACTTCAACTCGCAAACCCCAAATCGCACACACAAGGGGCTAGCTGTGAGAAGGAATCATGGAAGAGAAATGTGTGAAATTTCTTAATGATTTTTTCTGAATGGAGAATAAATGACTTCCTAATGCATTTTTCATTTTTCAGTGTGCGCCTTTCTTTCCCTACGCTCATAGTCAGATGCACTTAACTCTGTCAGTTGTGTCAAATTTCCTCACCAAAGCACTTACTCCCTGCCCCACTGCCACTGAACCCAATTCTATGTTGGGCACTCTAGAATACTTTCACTTCCTCTTTTGCACCTCTCCATCCCCCTATCACACCCCTCACTGTGGGATCACTTTTACTTTTCCTCTTTCTAGACTTTAAATCCGTCTTCCAGGTGTTGCTGAGTTAATTTATTACTTAGAATTTCCCTTACATTATGACCCCTCTGTTTCAAAAATCTTTATTTAGCACTTACATTTCACGTTCTCATAATTTATTCTTCCTGCAGACATACCATGTTTTGTTGCACTTTTATTGTATTCCACAGATATTACATTTTTCACAAATTAAACGTTTGTAGCAATCCTGCATCAAGCAAGTCTATTGGCACCATTTTTCCAATAACATTTGCTCACTGTGTGTCTCTGTCATATTTTGTCAGTTCTCACAATATTTCCAACTTTTTCATTATCATCATAGTTGTTATAGTGATCTGTGATCAGTGATTATGACTCACTGAAAGCTCAGATGATGGTTAGCATTTTTTTAGCAGTAATATATTTTTAAATTAAGGTGTATAGTTTTTTTAGACATAATGATGTTACATACTTAATAGACCACAGCATAGTGTAAATATTGCTTTCAAATGCCCTGGGAAACCAAAGAATTTATTTGATGTGCTTCATTGCAATATTTGCTTTATTGCTGTGTTCTGGAATCAAATAGGCAATATCTCCAAGGTATACCTGCATGTAGATTTATGAAGGAATGAAAGCTCATATTCTCTACCCTCCCTTTTTACTTCTTCTCTCATATTGAAATTTCTATTGTTTCTTGCCTTGCTTGGTTATAATTTTTTTCTCTAGACTTGTCCTTGGACAGGATAGAAGGGTGATATGTTCTATGATTTTTTTATATGACCTGGTTTATCTTTCTTTACTCTGATAGGTGAATGATGCCTTGCCTAGGTATGGGATTTGGGGGTTATGTACAGTCCTGTTTTCTTAATGTTATTCCTTTGTCTTCTGGAGTTTGGTATTGCATGATACCAGTCCAGTGCCAGTCCACTGTAGGTAATTTGTTCTTTTCTGAATATAGTCCTTTTCTTTAACTTTGGAGTGTAGAAATGTTACCACAGTATGCTCATATTTGTCTTTCTTCATTAATTTGGTCTGGAGCATAGTGAGCACTTTTAATCTGTCTTCCTCTCAGGAAAATTTCTTCCATTGTTCATTTGATTATTGCCTTTGTTCTGTCTCTTTCCTTTTTTCCTGCCGAATTTCAATCATTCACATAACAGGCTTCATGGATCTATTCTTTAAGTTTCTTATCTTTTTTATCTTGTGACTTATATTTTTATAATTTTGCTTTGTCCTTTAAGATTTTTCGTTTGCACCCAAGTTTTCCCAGTCACAAACTCAGATCTCAAAAATGGCCATTATCTCCTTCAAGTCACTGATTGAACTGGTAGGTTCTGAAACTGCGTTTTGAGGTGGGAGTGGCTCTAGTGTACTCTTTGTGTATGTGTGTGTGTGTGCGCGTGTGCACATGTGCATACACTACATGTGAATTTCCTTAAGTGCACTTGTTATCTTTAATGTTTTATTCAGGGTTCATCTACTGCCAGCAGCTACTCTATTTCACCAGTCGTGTGTTCTGGTTATTCTGACTGATCTTTTCCTATCTAGCTTTTGTGATTTGCTGAATAAATTGATTTAGTTCTTGTCATGGTGGAGGCTCAGGCCTGGGCTGCATGTCCTTAACAGTGGCACTCTCACAGGTGGTGGATGGCAAAAGGGCCTGTGTTGCAAAGCAGACCCTCTGTTGGTGCCCTGTGGAGGCATGTGGAGGAGCTCTTAGCTTTCAGGGTTCCCTGTACTTTCCCAACCTCAGAGTGGAGAAGCTCCTTCCTACCAGCTAGCTCTTTTAAGGATCTTCATACTTTGGTAGAAATCTGGGAGAAGCCAGATTAGGGATAGCCAGGTGGATGTTATATTATTTATGTTCTAGTGTCTGCTCTAAGAATCACAGTTTTGTACTAAAACTGCTCTAAGAATCTACAGTTGTCATGAGTATGAAAGACAATGAAAACTCCTGCGGACAATGTTAAAGTTTTTACTTCCAATAGCTAAGAGTTAAAGAAGATAGGTGAAAAAACTTACATTTACCTAGATCTTTATTCTTTCTGTTACTATGCTTTCATTCCTTCCAAGTTTCCCTGAAGTATCATTTCTTTTACAGCCCAAAGAACTTATTTTAGCCTTTCTTTTTGAATGTCTGCTGGCAACAGATTACCTTAGTTTCCCTTCATCTAAGAATATCAACTTCTTCATTTCTGAAGAATATTTTCACTAGTTTTAGGAGTCTGAGTTGACAATCCTTTTTTCAGCCCTTTAAAGATGTTCCACTGTCATCTTGCCTCTAGGTTTTTTTAATGAGAAATCTGTAATAAAGTAAATAATCATTTCTTAATATGTAATGTATTGTTTTCTCTAGCTTCTTTTAAGGTATTTTCTCTATCTTTGGATTTAGAAGTTAGGTTTAAATTATTTTCTCTATCTTTAGTCTTTAGAAGTGTGGTTCTCATTGAGTTTATCTTTTCTAGAGCTTTATTAAGCTTCTTGAAACTGTACATTTAAATTTTTCACCATATTTTGGAAGTTTTCTGCAGTGGTTTCTTCAAAAAATGTTTTCTGTTCCAGTCTCTTTGGCCTGTCCTTCTTGGACTCTAACACTATGAACACAAGTCCTTTTGCTATTATTTAGTCTCTGCTCTTTTGTTAGTTTTCTTTCTGCTGTTCAGATTATATAATTCCTATTGATTCATCTTCAAACTCACTGACTTATTCTCCTGTTATCTCCATTCTGCTGTTGAGTACATCAGTGAATTTTTTATATCAATTATATTGCCAAATTCTAAAGTAACTATTTGGTTCTTGTTTATAGAGTATATTTTTTTCTGTTGAGCATATCTCTCTTGTCATTTATTTCAAGAGTATTAACCTTTACTACATGAAAGAGGCCTGTAACAGCTACTTTAAAACCATTGTCTGATAATTCCAACATCTGGGTCATCCTGGGACAGTCAACAGTTGATTTTTTTTTTATTAAGAATTGGCTAGCTTTCCAGGTTTTATGTATATTGACTATCCTGAACATCTTGAATATCATATTGTGAGATTTTGGATCTTGTTAAAGTTCTCTGAAAAATGTTGAGCTTTTTTGTTTTAGCTAGCAAAACTCTGGAACATGGGAGTGACTAATATCACAGTTCAATTATTGAAGCTTGTGCTAGCCTTCTTTGAGTTTGTACTGCATATGCACAGATCTGGGTTGAGCCTGTGACTTCCGTAGCTCATATGCTGAATTAGTCGCCTTGTCTAGCTCTCTCCTTTCCAGGATTTGCCCCTTCAGTCTTCAAGCACCCCTTTTCCTGGCCTCTGGCCAGACAGGTTAGGTTCTTTTGGAGTTTTGTCTATCGCATTCTCTGGGACTGGGGCTCATACTCAGGTGAAATATGTGAGAGGGAAGAGAGAAAAATGTTGGGAATCTTACCACTTAGAAATTGTTTCTCCAAGTTTGACTTCCTTCCACATCCTGCCTGCTTATATTTACTATTCGAAGTCCTTGCATAGTTGTTTTTTGTATTTTGTCCAGACTTTTTCATTGTAATCAGGGAAGAGATAGATCCTAGTGGGCTTACTCCATCTTGGCTAGAAGGGAGACCTCTAGATACTACATTAAACCAGTAGTGTTTGCTAAACATTTACCAAGCTGTTAACAAATGACAGAAACAGATTTGAATTTTGCCTTTTTGTTTTTCCTTTCAACTTCCTGGCAAAAATAACCCTGGTACGTTATGATGTAACAGATGAAAAGCAGCAAGAACCAGAAAAGGGATCATGGAATCATGGGAGGTCAGGGTTGAGGGACACCTTGGAGATTATTTCTTTTCACACCTAACATAAGGGTCTGAACTCCTTACCCTAGTTTTCCAGGCCCTACATTAATTGGTTTGATGTCTTTAACCTCATCTTGGGTACTCTTCCTTTCTCCTAGGGGACAATCTTCAGACTGCAATAACAGTGGCCAGAAAGTCTGGAATGGTTTCTGAAAGTCAGAAAGTCATTCTCATTGATGCTAATGAAACTACAGGGTCTGCATCAGCATCTATATCTTGGAAATTACTAGAAGACAAGAAGCACATTCCATATGGGAATCAGGTATACCTAAAAATAGACCTTCTGCTACATTGTCTAACTTGTCTCACAGTGTTGGCGACTGAGCAGCTCTGACTAGCAGAGGTGTGCAGATGGCAGAGGGTCAACATACTTCTCCAGATATCTAACACATAAGCCATTTGATGAGTCAGTTGTATCAGTTTCCCACACAATTCCTACCAAACTTTAAGGTGCAGTGCTTTGCTGGATGTTGGAAATAACCTATTCTTTTAAACTTAAAGAGTCACCAGCTCTGTATGAGAAAGAATAGGGTAAACAGGGCTGAGAAGCTGATTTCCCATTTCTCCTTTGCTCGCCAGCCATTCCATTGGGATTTAGCCCCTGGGAGAGACACCACCGTGTAACCTGGAAATTCAGACTGTGTCTTCAGGTTGGGGAAAAAAAGTTGTATTCACTTATCTCCAATCTTGTCAGTATCCCTTTTCTATTATGTCCTTGCAGAAAAATATTAATAGTGTAAGAAAAAGATCGCAAGTTATTACTTCGGGGAGAGATTTGTTAAGCTGCAGTGCTTTTGTATTTTACACTTGAAATGTGTGAAATGTGCTCTTTCTTCTCTGGGGCTCACCGAGATCAAATCAGGAGAACAGGACATGAATAGGTGTTAGTCTCTTACTCACTGGAGGCTGTGATGTGCAAAGATTGGTCCAGCAAAGAGAAAGTGCTTCTCTGAGGAGTCACAGCTGGAGTGTGACTTTTAAAGAGAGACCCAGGCCAGGCCTGACATTGTTGCCTTCTCTCAGGTACACCTGTGGTCCTGACCACTCTATCAAGTGTCTAAAATAACTGTCTTGCTCTGCAGAACACTTACATTAATATGAGGGAAGAAATCTCTGATAAAGGCAGAGGAGGAAGTTACCATTTTGCCCTAAGTGGAAAATCCTTTCAGGTTATAAGTCAACATTTCAGCAACCTACTGCCAAAGGTAAGTTCTAAGAGGGTACCAGTCTCCTGGGAAAGATGCTGATGATGACACTTTCAGAGCATGTTCCTAAGTAATTTCAAACCTCCAACTAGGGAAGCCATACCTATTCAGTGTACAATAAGAGAGGCACGTATTTTTGCAGTGGTTACTGTTGTCTCATTTCTTACTATATTTTAAATAAATAAGCTTGATTAGCCAATTTTCCATCATCTATTGGATTAAAGTGTTAGTGACTTCTCAAGTCATAAAGATTACTTTTGCATAGCTGTCACTATATTGTCATGGTCTTACATAATAGTATAGTGGAAATCCAGCAATTTTACAGGAAGGCAGGCAAAAAACAGAGGAATTCTATTAGGTTTTTGGCAGAGTATCTCTCAACAGAAGAAGGTCAAACTTAAAATTTCCCTAATGAAAAATAAATCTGTCATGGGGGAAGGTAAGTTATATATATAAAATATAAATAAACTAGAGAAAGACAGTGTGCAGTATAACCTACAGATATATTATTTGCTTTCAATTGCTCATCATTTTATGTACTGTTTAAGAAAAAAAGAGAATACTTTGAAGCTGATTTTACTGCCAAGAAGAACAGGGAACACACAGATCTTCAGAGAAAAATTTAAACTCTGTAGAATGGAGCTCAGATGGATGGAGCTGGTATAGGTTCTTATACCCCCAAACCATCAATGTTCCATAGTCCAAATTAGGCTTGGAATACCAGCCAAATTGCACAATTGGTCAATTCCAGATAGTGTGGTTAAGGCAAAGACCACAAATAGTCACTACTTCACCATTAAGGCTGTTTTTCTGCTAGTTCTGAACAACTTTTGAGAAGCAGTTGCCTCCCTTCCTTCTCCTGAGATGTTGACAACAGATATCCTGCAATTTCTTATACTCAAGATTTCATTAAGCTCAGAAGTTGTCAGACCATATTCTCTATGGTAGCTGTAGGTCATCAATTTCATCAAATATTTTTATTAAGCAGTCATCTTATCTGATTTTAGTTCTCCTTGGCCACTGATAAGCAAAGTTCTAATGACTTAAATTGTGAAGGAGGACTTCATGGAAACAATTTTTTTCTCATTTGTGGGTATCATTACCTAGTCAGGATTCTGAGTATGATCATGTGTGACCAGCTGACATGATAAAAAGTTTCTCTTTTGGGTTCCTTACAGATACTGATCAATGGGACCATCTTTGCAAGAATGTCTCCTGGCCAGAAATCCAGTCTAGTAGAAGAATTTCAGAAACTGGAGTAGGTTCTTTGCCAGTTCAGGTGGTGAGAAGTACCTGGAGGCATGACAGTCAGAGGGAGTGTGAGAGGTACAGGGAGTCGCTCAGTTTGTCTAGGGCAGTGGTTCCTAATCCAGCTGCAAATGACAGTCATCTTAGGAGATCTGCAAAAAATAGCAATACCAGGACCCCACTGTCCAGAGATTCTGATTCAGTTGTTCATGCGGGACTTAGACATCTGTATTTTTAAAAAGCTCCTCACACAAGTTTGCGTCCAAAGTTTGGAACAACTGAAGAAGAACATAAGGAGCATGAAAGGGTGAGAAATAAATCTGGAAAGGTAGTTTGAGCTCAACTCATGAATGTAGAACTTAATTTTTATACTTAATTTTTAACTTAATTTTTATAATTTAAACTTAATTTTTATAAATTATCATCACAATTATGATAGAGGGAGATTCATATGGCAAGAGATTCATATAACCTTAAAAATATGAAAACATTCTTAGGCCAAACCATCCTCTGTGCCCTTAATCAGAAAAATAATTCTCTTCTAACACAAAGGGTCTCTACTGACAGAACAGGCCATTCAAATAAAGTGCCTATCATTTGGGACCCTTATTTCCTGTTAATGGAATCCACTGAGTCCAGAGGCTTTCTTTAGTTCTGGCTCTGGATTACATAGATGTGACTTCTCCTAGTCACTCCTACTCCATCCTTCTACTCATTTGATTCAATCACTAGTCAAGCTTCTCAAATCAGAGCATCCTGTCTTTTCAAAGGGGTTGAAAACCTAGCCAGTGAACTCATTGCCTTCATATAGCGGTATGGAAGAGGAGTACAGCAAGTTCTGTCAATGCTGCCAGAGTGCTCCCATCTTGAAAGGCAGACTATCCACAATTTTGGTCAAAAATTAAAGACAGCAGTATTCATCTATTCTCAAAAAAGCAACCGTGAAGCAGGGATGCATTTTCTTTCTTCAACGCCTGGGCTTTGCACTGCATGTTTTAGTTGAGTGGCTGTGGATATGATAGATTTCCTCTTGTCTTACTATTAATAGCTCTAAGTAATTCTTGTTTATCATTTTAGAATTTTTAAGGCACTTTCCATACAACACCTAACTGAATACTCAACACTTTGTAGGAGAGAAAAATGATAGTCAAAATAGTAAAATGATCAGGTCAAAGGTCTAGATCTTCTGGTTTCAAATCCTCTGTCCTCTCCCCTGTGCTTTTTCGTCCTATTTTACATCTGGCAGAGATGCTTCCTCACCAGCGAGGTTCAGGGTCTCCCTGAAACACTTGGAGTCAGGAATGGGGTGCTGGATTTCTCAATCCCTTGTGGAAACTTCTGAGCCACACTTTACTTTTAGTCAAACCAGACTCTTAGGGAAACTTCCTTAAAATATGTAATCAGTTTGAATCCTAAGTAATGATGTTCATTTTATCTCTTTAATTAGAGAAACTAGCAGGTAAGATTGCTTTGATATCGTCTATGATTGACATGTTTCCCTTTTAGTTACTTTGTAGGTATGTGTGGTGACGGAGCCAATGACTGTGGGGTAAGTAGCTGCCAGTGTGTGGGGCCATCATCACCAGGACCCGCCAGGCAGCACACTCTGTTGTGCTAACCCAGAGCCCTTGGAGACAGTACGTTATGATCCATTCACCATCTCCATTCTTCTAGATGGAGAAACTGATGTTGCTTTGGTAGAGTTTGCAGCAAAGCCACACAGTGACTCAGTGGTCAGCATAGACTCCATGGGGTAGAATTTGGTTCTGGAGTCCCCATACCTTTGGCCAGGCATGGCAATGCCATCTCTTTCTCATGTGTCAGACAAAATAAATTTGGTTAACTCCTGACTAGTGCTTGGGCCCACACACCACCTTGTGATGAGCCTAACTGCCCCTTTCTTATGTGTCCTTGGAAGAGATGCATGTGAGTGCACACAGACAGTAAGCTGACTCTTTGCTTTCAGGCTTTGAAAATGGCTCATGTGGGCATCTCTTTATCAGAGCAGGAAGCATCTGTGGCCTCGCCTTTCACTTCCAAAACTCCAAACATTGAGTGTGTACCTCACCTGATCAAGTAAGTAGGCACTTTCCACCAGCATCATTTTAATCTCTCCTGACTTTTAGGAGCATATCCCATTGTTCTGCCAGGCAAAGACTAGGGAAACTTTGTGTCCCTGTGTAGGGAGGGTGCATTGTGGGAGAATGTAGTCAAACCTTCTACTCCCAAGTGGACTCACCAGGAGCTGGAAATCACCCTAGGAGAGCAGTGGCATTCCTAATCAAATGACTGAATAGGTTATTTTTAGACAACTGGAATCTGGAGCTTATTACTGCTTTGAAAGTGGAAATTATACTCTATTGTTATTATTTTAAATCTATCTCCTTAGCTGCTCTATTTTGAGGGATTGGTAGAAGCTTTCTCCTGGCCACTTGCTTTCTTTACGCTTCCTTGGACTATCCTTCCCATTACCAGTTTTAAAAATATTTATTTATCTTCGCTGCTTCTACTAAAGAACCTAGTGCTTTATTCCCACCCGAGTACCCAGGCCTGTCTCCCACAAAACGTACTTCTGCACATTCAAATGATGGAGATGGTTAGCATTGTGGCTGCTTTTGGTTATTGTAGCTATAATGTGTTTACAGTTTATAAAGTGCTTTGATGTCATTTATTTTATACTTCAAAACAGCCTGATACAGGAAAAAGCCTGGTTGGAGGATCAAGTTTTGGAATCCCAGGAAACCATTAGGACCAGAAGTTTTTAAAACTCTACATTTTTTCCCAATGGAAGAGATCAAAGTGGCATTTCATAAGTAATCTATTTTATGCTTTAAATAGGCACTACTTACTCAAAGTCAGTCAACAATAACAAAGGAACATATTCATTGTATCCAATCTATTTAAATTTGACATATATGACTAATTTGTGCATATTATTTTAGATCAGTTTTGGAAAAATTTGGGACTGCCAAATGACATTTGAATAAAATGTTTGCCTAACTCCTAAAGCACTTGCATGAAAATAGCCTCCAAACCTGCAATTTTATATAAATTCCTTAGTTCACAGATGAAAAGACTATGACTGAGAGAAGGAAAGTGATCTTCCAAATCCCATTAGTGAGTTGGTATGAGATATGGGGCCAGTCTCAGGTCCTCTGAGCTGAAGCAGTGCCCGCAGAAAGGACCGGAGAACCTATAGCTCCACAGCTGGAGGAAGGCCTGCGGGCCTTGGTCTGAAAGTGGTCTTTCCTGAAAATCTAGTCACTTGGCATACTGACAGCCAGCTCCAACTGGCTCAAGGCTTGTCCAGTCTGTCAAACAATGGAACAATCAGGCCTTTGATTTTATTCTTCTGAGCTCATCTGTACAGCACAGAATAACTGACCTCATTTCTTTATATTTTATTGCATTACTTTTCATTTCTTTTCACACACAGGGAAGGACGTGCTGCGCTCGTTACCTCATTTTGCATGTTTAAGTACATGGCTCTGTACAGCATGATTCAGTATGTTGGTGTTCTGCTGCTCTACTGGGTATGACTTGGGACCTAGCCTCTTGGTTAGTGAGAACTAAAACACAGTTGTGCACTCTCAATTCCCATGCCTCATAAAGGAAGAAAATAAATAGCACATTTTGAGTACCAACAGCCCCTCAAAAGCTATGTTTAAAGTTTTTGAAAGTAAATCAGAAATAGATAAATGAATGAAGGCCAAGTTGTTAGTGCCAGTTCTCTGACTCTGACAAGCTTTTTATCTAGTGGTTCCTGTGGATTGGAACTGAACCTGCTGCCCTCTCTCTCACCATTGCATTCCCCTGCTTGGGCAGATGTCACTCTTCCCGGTTCCAACATGGCTATACCCTAATACAACTTTCCTTAAAGAGACGATTCTCTGATTGGGGTGCTGGTAAATGTTTTATAACTGGCTTTCCCTGAAAAAATAAGGCCTGATTATTAATGTTTGTGAATTTTGGTGATGTAAATACTCCCACTGTGGCTGGTTTCAAACTCTCTAGCTGATATTACTGAACAAGGACTTGGGAAGAGATGTATAGTAGCATACCACTATATAGTACTTGCTCCATATAGATACAAGGGTTGTAAATAACTTCAAGAGCATAGGTCATAATAAAATATAGAAAAATGCTAGGAAGTGCTGAATTTTGAGTATTTATTATATTTGTTTTTCATATAATTTAGTTGATGGTAAATTTTTATATTCAGGTTTTTCTATCAGTTGTATTTAACAACCAGTTCAAAAAATTCCTGAAGATTTAATAACTGACTCTCAAGAGCTAGTACAAGCCACCGTATCACTGATAGCCTGAATATAAGGATTTGAAAATTGGCATATCACAAAAATTCAGAGGTCTTGTATTGGTTTTTACTATTCAGCAAGATATAAAAGGAAGAAAGATGTGTCTATTGTGTGTAAACTCAACATGTGGGCTTCCTCTATTAACTAACACTGAGAAAGGGAGTTCCATTTGTGCAGAAGATATCTAGATTCATCTCTGTGTCTTGCCCTCTCCCTCTGGGCTACAGGTTTTAGTTCTCTTATTTTCAAATTACCTGTCTTTTCCCACTCGCCAGTGAGTGGGGTGGAAAAGGAGAGGCTGTTTCCAGAAATTCGGCCCTATTTGAAATCGCAATAACTCATGCTCAAAAGTAGAACTAAACATGAGTCATCATTAATTCCTTTCCACTACGGGGTGGGGCCAAGGAAGCAAGTTACTTGCCATCAGTAGGACCTGAATGTGTTTTCCTCAAACAGCTTTATCAGGTCTTCCTAAAGGTACCCCAGAATTCAAATAATGGGTTCAATAATTATTCTTCCATTGGTAAAATTTCAGTAAGGTTACCACATATTTGTCACGGTTACTACTGGAAATGCACTATTTTATTGGGTCCAACCAAACCCCAGCTTTTCTGCCAACAAACAGAAAAGAGCAGAGTTGGGTATAGCTGAGTAAGGTGTCCCCCTCCACCATGGTGAGATGATGCACACAGGGCCCAGCCCAGAAGCCCACACTGGCGACTTTCCTGGTTAGAGAGAATTTCACGGCCTTGTCTTTGTTATTCACACCCACAGACCCATGCATATACCATCCCCTTGGTAATTTACTTGAAAATCCTATGTTGCAAAGAGAAAATGAATGTACTTGATGCCAAACTTCATCCAGAAGCTTTTTGAGCTACTTTCCGTTTTATTTTCAGGAGACAAACAGCCTTTCAAATTACCAGTTTCTGTTCCAGGATCTGGCCATTACCACTCTGATTGGTGTAACAAGTAAGACATTTTAAAACTTTCTTCCAGAGATTCTCCCCTCTGCCTGCTTCTCTCTGCCCCAGGAGGGTTGGTCTGCTAGGAGGGAGAGCCCTGCAGCCACAGTCATGTAACTTATTCCCTGAGTTGTGTACAGACAGGGAAAGAGGAAATAGAGTTCCCACCTTTGAGTGTTGAAACAAAGTGTTAGCAAAGGAAAAGCTGGCTATTTTGCTGTTTTCCACAAAATAGAGAGCTTCCATAAATGGTCACTAAACATCTAAAACGAAAATAGAACCTAAAAGACATTTAAAATGAACATCTAAAAAAACATCTAAAATGAAAATCAGAAACAGTGACTTCAGTTTGCTTTTAGGTATAATTATAGTTGAAGGGTACCCAATTTATAGAAGCTAAATGGCTTTTACGTTTCCATTCCCAAATCCTAGCCTCTCAGGATTTAGAATGCAGATTAAAGCTGTTATGCTCCCCCAGCAAACTCCTAACTAATATATGAGTTTTGTCCCTAATTTCCCTGCTATAGAATTTTTCCCCAGTCCATGCACTAACCTTCTTTACCATATTCTCTGCTTTTCTGTCACATATAAATGCCAACAGCTCCACTTGTACATTTTTTCTATTATTGAGGTATTATTGATATACACTCTTATGAAGGTTTCACATGAAAAAACAATGTGGTTACTACATTCACCCATATTATCGAGTCCCCCACATACCCTATTGCAGTCACTGTCCATCAGTGTAGTAAGATGCCACAGATTCACTATTTGTCTTCTCTGTACTGCACTGTCTTCCCCCCACACCATGTATACTAATCATAATACCACTCAATCCCCTTTTCCCTCCCTCCCCACCCACCCTCCCACACCTCTCCTCTTTGGTGATCACTAGTTCCTTCTTGGAGTCTCTGAGTCTGCTGCTGTTTTGTTCCTTCAGTTTTGCTTCATTGTTATACTCCACAAATGAGTGAAATCATTTGGCACTTGTCTTTCTTCGCCTGGCTTATTTCACTGAGCATAATATCCTCCAGCTCCAATGGTAGGATTTGTTTCTTTCTTATGGCTGAATAGTATTCCATTGTGTATATGTACCACATCTTCTTTATCCATTCATCTACTGATGGACACTTAGGCTGCTTCCATATCTTAGCTTTTGTAAATAGTGATGCAATAAACATAGGGGTGCATATGTCTTTTTGAATCTGAGAAATTATATTCTTTGGGTAAATTCCTAGGAGTGGAATTCCCGGGTCAAATGGTATTTCTGTTTTGAGTTTTTTGAGGAACCTCCATATTGCTTTCCACTTGTACTTCTAATCCAACCTCTCCTACTTCTCAAGGACTTTGTTTCTGTAATAATCTTTACATCATCATCAAGTTTTCTCTGGTCTACTGGATCATTCCCATCAGCATATAAATATATTTCTGTATCTTCTACCAGATAATGAAATCATTAAATATATACTGAGTGTCCAGTTTATGCTTCTTACTGTAACAGGCACTTGGAATACATCAATGAAAAAAAAAACCCATAATTCCTTTCCTCATAGGAGCTTACATCCTGTTAAAATAGCAAGGCTATCTATCTAATTGTTCAAAGACCTAGAATTTCCTTAATTTCTTCCTTCTTTTTACTCTTCAAATCTAATACATATGAAATCTACTGGCTCTGCCTCCAAAACATATCCTGCATCCCTTCCCTCTCTCTCTCCTGCAGCCACTGTCACAAAGCAATGTCACCTCTCTTGTATCCACAATCGATCTTCTTTCTTCCACTCTTGCTGCCTTCCTCTCAACCCTGTTTACCTTTCACACAGTAGTAAGAGTGCTCTTCTTTAAATGTAAATTTCATTGTCATCCTCTGGCTTTAAATGCTCCAGTGGGTTCCCATTTCCTCTAAATCCGAAGTCCTACATGATTTGGCTCCTGTCCACGTCTCCAACTTCACCTCTAACCATGTTGACACTTGCTTAGTTATTCCATCACCCTGGTCCTTCTGTCTCTTGAGCATTGTCAATCTTGTGGTCACACATCAGTCCTTTTATTTTTACTGTTTTCTTTGCCTAAAATACTCTCCCCTTAGGTCCTCATACGGCTTTGACTTTTTCTAACTGTTCAGATCTTAGCTCAAATGTCACCACCTCAGAAAGGTCACTTTAAATAGTGACCAAGCCAATTATTCTCTATCACACATTTCTCTCTTTATTTTTTTCAGTACTTTTCACAATTGAAATTTATGATATTTACCTGTTTTTGTTCACATTTGCCTGCTTCCCTCAGAGTGTGCTTTGTGAGAACAGCACCTTTTCTGTCCTGATCACTGCTGTGTTCTCAACACCGCTAACAGTGCCTGATGGATCAGAGGAGCTCCTTACATATTCGTTAAATGTACAGTCCTCAGTGTTAAGCTATTCTCCTTCACATCAAGCCAAATCTATCTCTGTGTAGCTTTCACCCATTCTGTTCTATCATTTGCGGTCACACAATAGTCTGATTTTTCTCCCCTTAACAGTCCTTCAGATATTTGAAGATAATTCTCATTTTTTCTGTGATTGTTCCTTCCCAGTAACAAGAACCTTCAGGTTTTTCTTTATTTTTTGATAGATTCTTTTCTTAGTGTGATTCTTTTCTGTTTTTATGATTATTAATATATATATTTATTGTGAAAAGAAGATAGGAAACACTGCAAGATATAACAAAGGAAAAAATCCATCTTATCTATTACCCAAAGCTAACCAATTAAAGCATTTTGATGTATTTCCTTCCAGATTTTTCACATATTTATATAAATTAAGAGATGGAATTATGTTCTCTACAATCTTGTTTGTTATTTTTTCTATTTAACTTTATAAGTTCTTTTTAGTGCCATTAAATATTTTAGTGCTTTTTTATTATGGTAAAATATACATAGCGTGAAATTTACCATTTTTATCCCCTTTCAGTGTACAATTCAGGGGCATAAATTACATTGACAGCATTGTGCAATGATCACCACTATTTCCAAAGCCTTTTCATCACCCCAAGCAGAAACTATGTACCCATTAAATAATGATTCTGCATTGCCTCTCCTCCCAGCCTCTGATAACCTCTAATCTCCTTTTTGTTTCTATGAATTTGCCTATTTATGATATTTCATATAAATTGAACCATACAATACTCATTTTTCCCTTTTGTCTGGTTTATTTCAATTAGCATATAGTTTCAAGGTTGTGTAGTCATATGTATCAGAACCTCATTGCTTTTCTTATGGCTGAACAATATTCTATTATACGTATATACCAAATCTGTTTATCCATTTATCTATTGATGGACTTGGGTTGCTTTTACCTTTCAACTATTGTGAAAAATGCTACAGTGAACATTTGTATAAAGTATCTGAGTCCCTGTTTTCAATTCTTTTGGGGTGTAGGAATGGAATTTCTGGGTCATATGGTAATCATGTGTTTAACTTTTTAAGAAACCACTGAACAATTTTCCATAGTGATTACATCATTTTGAATTCTCACCAGCGAAGTATGAGGGTTCCGGTATCTCCAAGCCTCATTAATACTTGTTATGTAACTTAAAAGATATTTAGAGATCCTGATGGGTATAGAATATCATCTTATTGTGTCTTTGAATTCAATTCCCTAGTGACTAAATGATGTTGAGTATATTTTCATGTGGTTTTTGGCCATTTGTATGTTTTTTCTTTGGAGAAATGTTTATTCCAATCCCTTGTCCAATTCATATCTGGATTTTTGTCTTTTGGTGTTGACTTCTAGAATTTTTCATTTCCTGTAGGTATTAAAACCTTCCCAGATACATGATTGCAGGTATTCTCTCTTGTTTGATATGTTCTTTTCACTTTCTTGATAATGTCCTTTGATGTACAAAGGTTTTTGTTGTTGTTCATTTTGTTTTGTTTTTTAAATTTTTATTAAGGTATTGTTGATATACACTCAATGAAGGTTTCACATGAAAAAACAATGTGGTTACTACATTTACCCATATTATCAAGTCCCCACCCATACCCCAATGCAGTCACTGTCCATCAGTGTAGTAAGATGCCACAGAGTCACTATTTGCCTTCTCTGTGCTACACTGTTTTCCCTGTGATCCCCCACACTACGTTGTACAAAGGTTTTTAATTGTGGTCATTCCAATTTATCTATTCTTTCTTTGTTGCTCATGCTTTTGGTATCATATCTAAAAATCTACTGTCAAATCCAAAGTCATGAATATTTACCCTGTGCTTTCTTCTAAGAATTGTATGGTTTTAACTCATATTTAGGTAACTGATCCATTATTTTTGTTAATTTCTATATATAGCAAGAGGTTAGTGTCCAGCATCATTTTTTACATGTGGAAATCCAGTTGTCCCAGGACCATTTATTAAAAAGCCTGTTTTTCCCCATTGAATAGTCTTGATGCTCATATTAAAAATCAATGGGCCTAAAGATATGGGTTTATTTCTTGACTCTCAGTTCAATTCTGTTGTTTTACACATGTTGTCCTTATACCAATTCTACATTGTTTTGATGACTATTTTTGTTGTAAGTTTGAAACCAGGAAGTGTGAGTCCTCCGATGTTGTTGTTATTTTTCAAGATTATTTTGACTATTCAGGGCTCCTTATAATTTCACATAAATTTGAAGATTGGTTTTACTACTCTGCAAAAAAGAAAAAGCCATTTAGAGATTGCATTGAATCTGTAGATCTTTTCTTACTATTTTCCTACTATTGATAACTTAACAATATTAAGTCTGGCAATCCATGAACTTTGAGTGTATTTCCATTTATTTATGTCTTCTTAAATTGCTTTCAGAAAGTTTTATAATTTTCAGTGTACAAGTCTTTCTCCTCTTTGGTTAATTTATTCCTAGGTATTTATTCTTTTGGATAATGTTGAAAATGGAACTGTCTTCTAAATTTCCTATTTAAATGGTTCATTGCCAATGTATAGAAACACAACTGATTTTTATATGTTGATCTTGTACCAAGCAACATGGCTAAATTTATTAATTCTAGTAGTTTTCTTGTGGATTCCTTCCTTCCTTCCCTCCTTCCCTCCCTCCCCCTCTCCCTCCCTTTTCTTTAATTGCTATGGATAGAACTTCTAGTACAATATTGAATAGCAGTGTTGAAAATGGGCATCTTTGTCTTGTTCCTCATCTTATAGGGACAACTTTCAATCTTTCATCCTTGAGTATGTAGGTTTTTCATCCTTGAGCTGTCGGTTTTTCATTATATAATATATAATCATGAGGATTACATGTAACAACCTAATTTTATGACAGTCTATCCTGAATTGATGCCTTAGCTTCAACAGCATGCAAAATCTCTGCTACTTTACAGCCCTTTTAGGTTGTTGTTACCCAAATTACATCTTTATCCATTGTGTGCCCAACAACAAAGATATGTAATTACTTTTTATGAATTTGTCTTTAAATCATGTAGGAATGAAAAGTGGACTTAAAAACCAAAAATACAATGATATGGTCTTTTTTATTTGCCTAAATAATTACCTTTACTGGTCAAAATGAGAATGTCAATAAAGAGAAAGAACTTACAAAAAGAATTCTTTAAAAAGAATTTCTTTTGGCTCATTTTCATAATTTCTATCTCTTTATTGAGATTCTTGTTTTGTGTATGGGTTATTTTCCTGATTTCCTTTAGTTCTTTGAGGATATTAAAAACATTTATTTTTAAGTATTTGTCCAGTAAGTTCAATGTCTGGGCTTTCTCACAGATAATTTCTGTCAATTTATTTTGTCTGTTGTATATTGTAATGTCTTAACTCTGGAAATCATGTTCTTCCCATTCCCCAAAGTTTGATGTTTTTTGTTTTGCTGTGTTTTTGAGGTTTGTCATAGTCTGTTTAGTGACTTTCCTAAACTGTTTTTACAAAGATTCTACCAGTTGTCATGTGTAGTCACTGAAATCTCTGTTCCTTTTAACTGTTGTTCATCTAGTGTTTTTGACAGATCCCTAATTATAAGAGTTTAAAAACAGGAACAAAGAAATACCTCCTCCAATCTTTGTAGACTGGTTCTGAGTTGGGGTGCTTCAACATTTAGCCAGGCTTGTACTAAATCTAGAGAGCATCTAGAGCTGAAAACATAGGGTCTTTTCTGGTCTTTTCTGAGCATGCAGCTTGCCCTGGGCATGTACATGGCTGTCTATATGCCGCAACATACAGAGATGCTTATGACTGCCATAATTTCCCAGAGAAACTTTAGTATTCTTTCAGGCTTTGGGTCATTATTTTATGTCTCAGCTATAACCTCTCTCCTACTTCTGGTTATTGTGGGTAGTTTGTTAGTTTTTGTATGTTTTCAAGCAGTGTGTGCTGCTGTTCCACCCTGAGTGAACATTAGGTGAAACAAAGATGCTTTGCATTAGGTGAAACAAAGATGATTGCTTTCCACCAGTTCTTCAGGTAGCCCTCTGTCATGTTAGAACAGACGTACACAATAATTTGTGGATAAAATCTTCTCTTCTGCCTCTGTGACCAGGAACAAGTGTCCATAAGTAGGCATGATGGGCTTTGATCTCCAGGATTGCCACAAGGATGAGGAGGGTGGGCAAGGGCAAGTAAAGATGTCACAAAGCTTTCCTACCATTTTAAAGTTGCCTTTTTCTTGAATCAGCATTTGTTTGGATGCTATAGACCTTTGTCTGTTTTTCAGTTGTAGCAAAGTTAGTCTGAGAGTTCTGCTTGTTTTTTGCTCTTTCTGTGGAAGGATAGGATGTTGGAGCTGCCTACTCTGCCATTTTGCTGATGTTACTTCTCATTTTTGTCTTTAAATATTTCAATGCATTGCTTCTTAATGACTGCATGTTATTCCATTATATAGATGTACAATGATTTACTGTAAATGATTCCATGGTGTATATTTTTCTACATCTGTGATATTTAGCTTACATTTCCAGAAATGGAATAATTATGTCAAATGCTGTGAATATTTCTTGATCTCTTCATATTTGTTGCCAAATTGCCCTGTAGAAAGTTTTTGTCAATTTACATTTTCACAAGCTGTGTTTGAGAGTGTACATTTCATCACTCCCTTACCTATAATTTAATAGTCTTTGCCTACTCAATTGACAATAAAAGGCATCATGTGATTGTTCCATGTCTTCTGTCTTAGAAATTCCTCACATGACTTGAGTTTGACATTCATTGTTTTCTTCCCTCAGTTTGTGATATACTTCAATTTGTCAGTTTCCTCATATGTGTAGTCTAAGAAGTTGTACCATTCTTCTAATGTAGAATATATATTCCTGTTCTCATAAGTATAAAACTTGAATTTATTTTGTAGTGAACTTGAATGGTGCCTACCCCAAGCTGGTGCCTTTCAGACCTGCAGGACGGCTGATCTCCCCACCTCTACTGCTCTCTGTGATTTTCAACATTCTTCTCAGCCTGGCCATGCACATTGTGGGCTTTATTCTGGTTCAGAGGCAGCCTTGGTATCCCATGGACATGCACAGGTACCACAACAGCCTCAATTCTAGCTTCTCACAGTCTAATTTCTATCACACATTGTCTGACCCATATGATGGGAGGCAAATGGGTCTTCATTCTTCCAAAGGCTTTGGCTCCCTTAAGTCCCTTGGGCAGCTTCCCAGTGATCTTCTCTTCTCCGTAGCACAGTTTGAGGGTCTCATGCCTTGGTACTTACCTTTGCCTTTCTTGTATTATAATGATCTATGACCATCTTTTATATCCAGGGTGACCATGCATTACAGTTTGCCTGGGCACTTCCAGTTCAAGCCTCAAATTCCAATGAAATTATGAAAATGTTTTCCTTTCACATTCAAATCTGTTCCTGATGGATGATAAAGTATAAGACTACCCTACTTATATGGTCTTATGATTATCCATCTTAAGCCATTAGAGGGAAGAATCGTGGCTTATTCATCTGATTCTCTGCCATATAGCCTTAATATACATGATTGGAGCCCAATTTACTGAATAAATAACTTGTTGAATCTATCTATCTATCTATCTATCTATCTATCTATCTATCTATCTATCCATCATCTATCTATCTATCTATCTATCTATCTATCTATCTATCTATCTATCTATCTATCTATCTATCTATCATCTATCCATCTATCCAAAACATAGATCGACCTGTGCTGGTTTCTTTCTCCTTATATTCTTTCCCAAACTGTAGGCAATCATAGAAGCATTGAGAGTATGATGTCCTGTAGATACAAATGCCCCATAAAGGGCTGTCACCTTACTTCATTAGCTTTTTTGTTTTCCTTTTTAGTGTCTGCACAGTGAAAAATGAAAGCAGCTCACAGTTAACCATTTCTTCTACTGCTCCAGAAAAAAATGGAAGTAATGGTTCCTTCACAAGTTTCGAGAACACAACTATATGGTTCTTGGGAACAATCAACTGTATTATTGTGGCTCTTACCTTCTCTAAAGGAAAACCATTTAGGCAGCCCATCTATACAAACTGTGAGTAGAATTGTGCCAGATCAGAGGTGAGAGGTCATCAGAGAGGAGGACGGACATGCTCAGGTCACTCAAGGAGCACCTGCAGCTTTGATGCTTATCTAAGGTCTCCTGAGTCCCACTCCAGGGCTCCATAAAGCACATTGTGCAGCCTCATTCTCATGATCCTTTGCTTTTCCCCTCAAATCTGTATTAAATATTGGGGCTTCTTTCACCACCTCTTTCTCTCACCAGAAGATTGTCTCTACATGTCTTTTCATGGGATCACTCCAAATTGGGAAGATTCTTTTATTTCTCTGTTTGTCAGTACTTGTCAGAATTCACATTGCAGATGGAGAGAAGGGTACCAGCCCCCTGTTGGAACATGTCTGCTGTCATGAAGACAATAATCTGGGTGGGATTGTGTGGTTGGCAAGCTTGGAGTGAGTCCAGCCTGGAGAGACCTGACTCTTGATGAGTGTAGAGGCTCTTGGCTAAACCTTACATCCTGAGCTGCAGATAGGAGTGTGTTTTAGGAGGAACGGATGACCTGCTTAGCCTTTAGGGCATTCATTTGTATACCATCAGTCCCATTCTAACTGGGAAAACTTAGAAGCACAAGTTGAAAAATCAATATCCTCATAAAAATTTGTTCAGAGAAAATTATTTTGCCCTTCCTCTTGGGATGAGGAAGCAACTGAATACTGACCTCTACAAATGTTGCACTGTAAACATTTATTTTATTTTTTTACAGAGTTTATTTACTCTGTAAAAAGCTCTCCTTTTTTCCAGGGAAGTATTTGAAGCAGATGATTTACATTAAAGAGACTCAGATACATGGATGTCTTCAAGGCATTTATTGAAAATGTATTTAATCAATGTTACCCTCTCTATATTTTCCATTTTTATTAATTGAAACTTATGCATGTGAAAATTTCCAGTTGCCTCAAGGACATGCATAGAAATTGTTTAGGTGATATCTATTGCATAGAAACAAGTACTTTCCATCTATTAGGCTGTGTTTGGATATAGAAATCAAATAAATTTAATCAGTGTTAATCTAGACTATGTCTATCAATAGATATGACACTGTATATTCTGATTTCTCAGAATGATAGCTTGTGTTCTTATTTCCTCAGATATATTTGTTGTTCTGCTGATTATACAGCTGGGTGTGTGTCTATTCGTTCTATTTGCTGATATTCCAGAATTATATAGACGTTTGGATGTAAGTCTTATCTCTGGGATGTAATGATGTTTCACAGTTATATAACACCCTAACTTCAAAAAGCAAGTCACAATTACAATGCATATGGTTTCTTGACACTGATTATTCTTGGGGGATGATAAATGAATTAATTTATTCATATTTTTTTACTTAAGCTGGTCAGGAAATAAAATCTGTCTTGTCCTGATTTCAAGTATTTCAAAAGCATTGAACATTTTTATCTTAGAAGATCCCTGTAAGACCGGAAAATCTATTTATATATATTCTCTTTCAAATGTGAGAGAAATTTCCTCTAAATGCATCTGTTTTGAAGCTGTTAAAAACAGTTTTGTCTATAACACCTGTTCCATTAATTTTCAAATCTGTATTTATATCTTTTTAAAATTTCTTTAAAAGTATGTTTTTCTTCACATTCATAATTAATGTCTGCAAAACTTACTTTCAAGAGCCATAACCTACCTTATGAACTCTCTTAGATTTTGTAATTTCAAGACTGGTTTGAAATTCTGTAAGAGACATAAAGTTTACATACTCAAGCAAAGGAAAATATACATTTTGATTCTTCTAACCTATCCTACTTTTAATTAGAAGTTAATAGTTACTAAATGTCCTTTACACCAATAAATAGAATATGGAAGAGACATCGAAAGGGGCTGAGCTTTTTTTTAACTTAGTGCTGTGTGAACCTGCCTGCCTGCCTCTGCACCTTAAAGATAAGTTTCACAAGGCCGAAGATTCCTACTCATTTTTTCTATTACCAGTGCCTTGCAAAGCCAGTGACACATAATGGCAATGAATGACTCATTGATTATTGTATTTCAGGCCATTAAATGTAGACAAGCACTTGGCATGCACAGTGCATTGCAAGCCAGCAGCTCCTTCATGAACCCATCATGACATTTGACATCTAAACTAATGTCTATGTTTGGTTTTCATTTTATAACTGTATTACTATGGCTAACAGTGTAATTGCCACTGTTGTTAAGTGTCTTCAAAAATTAGATTAAGTACTCGTGGAGAAAAATAATCTTGCCCACTAGTCTTCTAAGTGAATTAAAACTTCTTCATCCTATAGAAGTTAAGGTTAAGACCTGTTGAGTTTTGTACAGTCTTCACCTGTAAGGCACATAAAGACTCTTGCAAAGCAGATGGTCCTTTTTATAATAAATTGGGGAGCATACTTGGTTTGGAGGGAACCAGTGTGGAATCATTGCCAGCATGACTTGCAAAGCAGTCTGCAGAGAATTATTGTTCATCTTAAAAATAATTATTTTTCTTATTATGACATAAAATTATGGGTATATTTTACAAAAGGTTAACATATAGTCAAGTAAAAATTTAACATGATTCCCTATATCCTTCCATCTTTGAAAATTCATATTATAAATGTGCATTGACTGATTTATGAAGCTTATTTTATTTTAAATAGAATCATGCTGTTTTGCATCCTTGCTGTTACTCATTTAAAAAAAATAAGCATAATTTTCAAAAAATAGGGAACATACTTGCATGATTTAAAATCTGAGAGTTAGAAAAATTCTGTAATGAAAATCTTCCCATCCTTGTTTCCCAGCTACTAGTTCCCCTCTCTGGAGGCAGCTGATGATACCAGTTTGTTTTACATACTTTCAGAGAAATTTTATACATATGTGCACATATATATGTGTATGTGTGTGTGTGTGTGTGGTGTACATGTGTGTTTGTATATATTTTCATATTCTGCCACATTTTTACACAAATAGTAGCAAACTATTACATTTGTTCTGGTCTTCTGAGTTGGATATGTCAGGTGAGATGAGATTAAGGTAAGAAAATTATTGGAGGAATTGCCTGGAGGGAAAAGCTTAGGAAGCCAGAGGAGGGGGGAAGGCATACCACTAGGATGTGGGTCTGATCCCCATGAGAAAGAGAGGGAAGGAAGGAGGCCTGATGAGCTGTTTCAGGCTACAGTGCATTTCTGAAGGAGCCAAGCCTAAATTGCCCACCAGAGGTTCTCGTGTCTCACAGGAAAGAATGGGATTAGAAGCCCTTCTGCCCTCAGTTCCTGGCTATGAGCAGCCCTGGAAGTGTGGCGTCAGGGTGACCATTATGGTCGCATCTGAGTACCACACCTGGGCATGTGCCATTCAATCTCCCAGCTGCAGACTGATGGGCATTACCATGGCTGCTACACCCACATGCACAGTCCTGCATCTTGTTCTTTCATGTGACAGTCTATTTTGGTAATTGTTCTATATCAGTATATACAGCTTCCTCATTCTTTTTATGTTAGTATAGCATTTCATTGTACCATAATTTATATGTAATCCCTATTGAAAGACATTAGACACTCAGGTTTGTTTCCAGTTTTTTAATGTTACAAACAAAGCGGCAATAAAATAGCCTTATATATACACCATTTCAGCCATGTACTAGTAAATCTCTAGAATAAATTCTTAGAAATGAATGTGAACTTTGAATTAATAGCATTGTCCTCCATAGAGTTGTGCCAGTTTTTACTCCCACTTGGGTATAAGGCAGTGTATGAGGAACACCAGGTACATCAGAGTGCCCCTGGGTTTGTTTCAATCATTCAGTTATCTGTCTAACATACATATGAATCATCTATGTCATGTGTCTGGGCAGGGTTTAGGGAAGACACAGAGCAAGTGGGGAAAGAGACAAGTGGTGGCAGATGGATTTTAGCCCTGCCGGCTTGGTTGATGTGTGCCCTGGGGACGGCACGGCCTGTGCAGCTCTGCCTGAAGTCCTGACAGGGAAGCCTTGACCCAGGGCTCAAAGGCAGGTCTTCGCTGGGGAGAGATGTGGTACCAGACAGAAGAGGGCAGCGATGCCCATGTGGTGGTTTAACATGGGCGCCCTCAGAGCCTCCTGGGAGTAGGGCCACATTTCTGTATTCCCAATAAAAAAGTGGTCAAATTTATTTGGGGAAATTTAGAAATTACAGAGAAAAAAGAACAAGAAAGGAAGATAAAAGAAAGAAAACAACAATCACAGTCCCCAGATCATTGAAATCATTGGGTATTTACTTCCACACTGTTTTCTGTGCATACATGCATAGAAATACTTATATATGTAAAATGTGTGTGTATGTATATATGTATATACAAATATGTATATAAAACAAATACACATATATGCATGTGTCTTTTACTACATGATTTATAACTTATGAAAATGTACTGTCAACATATATAAATTTTTCCATTGTATATTTGTCATCAGACTAACTGTGCTTTTTTGTCTCCTGCCAGCTGCTCTGCACTCCTGTTCAGTGGAGGGTCTACATTGTCATTATGCTTGGCACCAATTTTATTGTGTCCTTTGTTGTGGAGGTAAGTGCCCTGAAGCTGCTGGTCTCTGTGGAGGTATGTCTCTGTGGGGGTATGGGTGGAGTCTGAAAAAGGGGCAGCTCAACAGGGGACAAGGCTCAGCGGTGCAAGGGGCTCCCTTCCCTGGCAACCTGAGCAATGGTGCTCTCTTCTGATGAGTGCCAAACAAGGCACTAATTCTCCCATCTGTAATGTGGAGCTGGGAAGAATGGAATCTTGATCTCTAAAGTGGCATCCATTTCTAAAATTCACAAATAGAGACCCAATTCAATTCATTTTTTTGAAACTGAGGCATGATTCACATACTATAAAATTCATTTTATAAAATTTTATAGAATCTATAAAATTTTATAAAATATACAATTGTACACTTTTTAAAGTATACAATTCAGTGGCTTTTAATATATTCACTAAATTGTGCAACCGCTACCACTATCTAATTCCAGAGCTTTATCATCAACCAGGAAGAAACCCTGTGCCTATTAGCAGTCACTCCCCATTCCACCTTCTTCCTCCCCCGCCCCTAGCACCCACTAATCTACTTTCTGTCTCGCAATTGGCCTCTTTTGAACATTTCATATAAAGAGGATCACATAGTTTGTGGCCTTTTGTGTCTGGTTCTTTTTGCTTAACTTGTGTCACTTTACAGATGGGAAATGAGATTCATAGTGAGCTTTTCTTGGCTTTTATTCTTCAGCTCCAATTTCTTCCATCTTGTCTGTAATATGAGCTCATACTCCCCATTCTTTTACTGCATGGCTCACTCTCTCCTTCGTTAGTGTTCTTAGACGTGATCATTCTTCAAAGCCTGCTATTGCTTAGGGCATGCCCTCCAAAGGATCCATTCCAACAGAGAGGTAAGCTGCAGGGAAAAGGCCATGTAGGAGCTGGTGGCAGAACAGGACATAGACTTAGGGTAGTAGAACTCCTCTCTATATGCTAAACCAGAGACTCACACATGGCAGGCCCGTTGGGGCCTCACAGTCACCTGGAGGGCGTATAAAAACAGACTGTCCGGCCCTGCCCCCAGCACTTCTGATTCAGTAGGTCTGGAACGGGCACAAGGTTTTGTTTCTAACAGGCTGCCAGGTTCTCCTGGCTCGGAAATCACAGTAAGTACTGTGCTAAACAATATGGTTTCCAAAGCCACCAGATTAATAAAAAGGCATTACTATTGGTGTCCTTGTACCTAATTACAAAAAGATGGACCTTGCCCTTTAAGGGGTAACCTTATGTATACATATCTCATTCCTCTCCATGATCATAGCTCCTCTGTCTAGCACGCGTTTGCCCATTTCTGCATACTGAAATGCTAGTCCATCCTCTGGCACAGCTGTGTACTATCATGAATCTTTCCTGCAGCCTGGATCAATTAGGCAAGCAACCAACTTCGCTAACAGTTTGCCTCAAAGCTCAGCCAACAGTGGCTTACACAATAAGCATATTTATTGACTCACTTAACAAGAAGATTGGAGGGAAATGGCTTCAGGACTGGGTTAGCCAGTCAGCAGTGTCATTGGGATCCTCATTCTTTCACTTTCCTGTCTCACCACCTTCAAGGCTGACCTTTCATCTTTGTGCTTGCTTTTTATGGTGCCCAGATAACCTTCACATCGCCAGGCAACATGTCTGTTTTCAGCGCAGGATGAAAAGGGAAGAAGAGGCACCAGCAGGCTTTTTTTCCCACAAGTATGAACGTTTTATCGGGAAACCAAAATATTTCCTCCAGCCCACATGGAGACTCACTCTTGTTCTTGGTTAGAACTATGTCTCATTGTCAGACTGAGCAGAAAAGGATTCTGGGAAAGAGGATCTATGCCAGAAATGTAGACAGGTTGGCTTACACTGTTCTGTAGGGCAATCAAGCCACAGAGTCGGCCATAATCCCCTAGCAGGAGACCATTGCACTGTCAGTATTTTTGCAGTTATGAGCATAATCCAGGCTAAGTCTACCTGGGTTTGAATCCTGTCTCCGCCCTTTCTTTCTGCCTGAGTTTGGACAGCACTTGCTACTCCTCTTCTCTGTCCCCATTTCCTCACCTGTAAAGTAGTGATAAAAATAATGGCATCTTACTTGGGTTACTGTGAGCATGAAATGTGAACAGTGAAAAGCACATAATAATGTGTTTAATAAATATAAGCTATTATTAGAAGATTATCTTGTGGTACTTACCATTTCTTACTTTGTATCTATCAATCATTCGGGTATTTGTTGATTCATGCACTCTTCCCACCAGCATTTGTTGACCAGGTGTCATGTCCTAGGGCATGATATGAGGGTGAAAAGGATGACAAAAGGATATGGCTCACAATCCTCAGTGAGCAAAAGGACAAGTTCTGTAATTACTTGCATATATTTTTTTCTCATACCTGTCAGTAAACTGTTCGCAAGAACTCATCTCAGTAGCTACAGTACCCAAACCCCTGCTTTGTTCTCACAGGGGCTGGGTGAAGGTTTATTCAATTATTACATGTAAGAAGTGACCCTGCTCACCCCCAGAAGATGGCGAGGATAATTTGATACTTATGAAAGATAGTTTCTCTTTTGTTTCTCATGCTGCAGGAGAAATAGAGACACATGTGGGTGTTAGTGTGGGTTCCCAGCAGCTGTACCCTGAGAACACTGTGGGTTCCAGCTCACAGCCACTAGCCCCTCTACTGCAGCCTCCAGTTGTTGCTGTCAGTAGGAACCAGGAACAAACCGAAGCCATTTGAGTCTTTGGTGAAGGCAGTTGTAATTGAGAATTATGGACACTAAGATTTCCTGCCTCATAAAGTGAGCCTCTCGGAGTAGGTCAAGACTCCAGACTATCAGGCAAACAGCAAGATGTTTTCCTCAGGTGGCTCTTGGTATATCTGACAGAATATGCTAAAGATCCCTGGGATGGGCTGTGCTCGCTCCATACTACCTGGCCCACCCATGGCAGAGATGGTCCAGAGAGGTCCTCGGGTCACAGGTGTGGGGGCTGGCTAGCTTCCTTTTGCACAGTCACAAATACTGTCTGGCTTGCTGAGAAATCCAACCCTACCCTAATCCTGTTGCAGCCTAGAAAACAAACAGGTTTGAATGAGACCTTATCCTTTACTGTTTCTCATGATCTAACCTCCAGCTGAAGGGCATAGAAATTAATGTGTATAACTTTAATCCTCTCTTTTTTATTACTAATGTGTTTGTATATTTATGTATGTATGTCTACATGTATGATTATTTGAGTAGCCAGTCAGATGAGCTCATGAGGTGAAGGTTTTTTGAAGAAATGGTATCTCATCAAGGCATCCCTTTTGTTTCTAGTTCTGCATTTCATTTACAATGTACAGTGACAGAACAGATCCCCTCTCAGTGCTTGTTTCCCTTCCCAGAACAGCAAAGCAATAAGCTCATCATACTTCTAGAACTGTAAATACTTCCAGGCATGCATAGAGCACTAAAGTCTTTCTAAATTGTTGTTTTGTTTCATTTGTTTTATTTAAAACCTGCTCAGATTTCCTGGAGGTAGGCTAGATTTTAAAACCATTAATTGGATACCTGTGATCCTGCCTTATCCCAGCTCTAAGGAGAACTACTGTTCTCTTGTTAAGTAAACAGGACAAAAACCTTGTTTTGGGAAAGTAGAATTTCAGGTCTGGTTAGGCAAGCCCTGAGGTTTGTAAGATGCTGATTGGATGGCTGTGTGGGTCTTTAACAGCCTGCTAGCAGATGGTTAGTGTTTAGGGAAAGATTCAGACTATCTATTCTCTATTATGTCCATGGGCAATGGGACTCAAATGTCAAAAATGGGTGGGCTTTAAAAACTACCATCTGTGGCCAAGTTCCTGGTAGAATCTACAGAATGAGCTCTTTCAGTTTAGCAAAGACACCATGAATAGGTACCAAAGCTGGTTCTGATTCTGTGGGACAGCTTGCTTCCTCATATTTTTCCTCTTCATTTCTTTCATGATAACTTTTAAGATGGTCAATCTTTAACTGAATATGATAAAAATGAAATATTAACATGATAATATCTCATGCACTCTGTATCGTAAGTCAGAACTTGGACTGTATCTAGGCTCAATCTAACTCATGAAATAAAATGGCAGTCCAGAATGTTTCCAAAGAGATGTCTTTTTTGTAATCTTAGAAAGTGCATTGCAGTGAAATACTTGTAGGTGAAAATTAGAGGCATATGTGAATAGGACCACAGAGCACAGCCTTTTGTTAAATGAATAGTTCTGGAATATGATCAAGGGAGGCACCTATGCTGCCATGCCCTGCATTGTGATTGGTGTTATATAATCCTCATGATAAATGTAAGTGGAAGGAACTGTTATTTCTAATCACTGAGGCTTGGATAGGGCAGTTAATTTGAACATAGGAGGTGTTGGAGCTGGAACTCAATTCCAGATCTGCTTAGCTCCATGACAGTGGCCCATATTCCTATTTTATTTACCTGTATTCATGACTATGCAGTTATACACCAAAGCCATGTCATGCACATGGCACACCTTTCTATAAGGTCAGTTGCATTTGGTGGTAAGTAATTTTGCATGTCATTTTATAGTAAATCAAATATGGATGTAGCATGGAGTGGATGGCAGAATTTGAATGATTTTAAATTTAATTTACATATGACATTCAGAAGAAATTTCATCCTTGAGGCCAACTACTTTAAGCTATGTTTCCAGATTCTTGAAACTATGCCTCTCCCTTCTCCCAGAAGAGTTCTTCAAGTAGAAGAGTTTGAGAAGCTGAGACCTACCCCATTAAACCGCTTTGGACCTGTTTATGCAGGGCTCTGGTTCTTTGTCAAGCTGGATCTAAGCAGCCAGGTGCCTGATTAGGGCCTCCGGAGGGCTATAGTCTGGAAATACTAGGCCTCTGATTGTAAAGAGTGACTCTTTTATTTTGCAGGAGGCCATTATTGAAAACCGAGCCCTGTGGATGATAATCAAAAGGCGTTTTGGCTATCAATCAAAAAGCCAGTATCGGATATGGCAGAGGGCCTTGGCAAATGAGCCCAGTTGGCCTCCACTAAGCCAGACCTCCTACTCTGACATGCCCGAGTGTGGCACGGGAGAGTCTTACAGCAACCCGGTGTTTGAGAGCAATGAGGAGCATCTCTGAAGGCAATGTGATATCCGAGTGGATAAAACACAGAAACAACGGCAAAGAGGATCAGTTTGGGTGATTTTTAAGCAGTGAGATTCTTATAATATCAGCTGGAAGTTTTGAAATCAAAAACCTATCCAATCATGGTGACAAATTAAAGTCTGTTGATAAAATACTTTCTACAAAGCAGAACACTGCTCCAGAAGAGTGCTTTCCTCTTGGCTTCTGAAAGTATTAGGTGCATTCATGACTCAAGAATTGGCCAACAGTGGCAATAGGCCAAGAGATTGACAGGCTTCAAGAGAAGAATAGGTCATCTTTCTTCTTAGATAATATATTTTTTAAGTGAGTTGAGGTAAAGTAGCACTATGTATAGTCATAGAATTGCAACACGTTAAAGATCATTGCTGAATTCATATTTTATTGATGAAAAAAAAATGCATGGGGACCATCACACCAATTTTCACTGTCTGGTTTCCTTTCCTTTGTAGTACTTTTCAGATTTGAGACATTTCCTTCTACTTTTGGCCTTCTCCTGCATATTAATAAGGATAAGCTAAGTCAATGCTATAGGAGGGTCATAACACACAATCCCCACGACTCAGTGGCTTATGCAACAGCTTCTTTCTTGGCCCAGGTGACTCTCTGGACTGGCTCTCCTCAGAGAGGTGACTCTTTCAAGCTGATGGCTCTCCCGGCTTGACCAAGGGACATGGTGTTCACCAGATTGTGGAAGGAGGAGACTGGGGAGCTCACAAGGACTCCTCACTGCTGCACCCCAAAAGTGGCACTCACACATCAGTAATGAAGACGAATTTGACAAAAAATCTGGGAAGTACAGTCTCCGGCTTTGGGGCTGGCTAGCTTTGTGCGCACATGGCCTGGGTGATCACACAGTGCCTCATGCTTAGAAGGGCCCCACACTCGGATTAATGCTCTGCTGTTACCATTTTGAAATTCTTAATTTTTGAATAAGGATCCCCACATTTTCACTTCGCACTGGGCCCTACAAATTATGTAGTAGACCTGGCTTGTATTCCTGGGAAAGGAAGTGAAGTAGCACACATCAAAGAGCACCAGTACCACCCACTCAACTCTGCGTCTCCTGACCTTGTGAGTATCTCCTGTGTTTTAGGACCCCTTCACCTCACATATCCAGCTCCAGGAACTTCACTCTTCTTATTTTTTGAGAAGAGTCAGTCTTGTGCTCCAACATTGCGTTTTCATTAATGTGAGTCGTCATGCAACCTAAACACTTCTTAAGTTTGAGGCTTTAGTTTTCATAAAACAAAGTTTTCCCTTATTTTATTGCTATTACAATTCAGTTATATTGGATTCAGCATAGAAAACACTCAGGATTTGGTTAACTCAACAGACAACACTGAATTCTAGGAAAATACCTATAAATTAAATTTATGAGTAAAAGTAAACATTTCATTACAAACATCAAACCCTAAGTGAATATTCTGGGCAAAGGGTGAGACTCAGACTGGCTTTTCAACTTACTGGTAGCATTTGAAAGCATTTTTTTCCGTGGCTGAACCCCTGAGCATGGTTGGTAGCTCAGTGACTGCAGACATTCTGCGAATGTGGTGCTTCCCATGAAGGTGCCTTGTTGCGTCTGGTTTTCAAATTAGGTGTGAAGTAGGCTGCAGAGTCACTGTCTTCCTTGGCACAGAAAGAATTATTTCCTTTTACAAAGTCAATATCAGCAGTGATATGGCAGCTCTGAATGTCTTTTTCTACAACTAGTAACTTCTCTCATTTTTCAGAAGTGGAGGGTTATAGGGACAAACAAGATGGTTTATAACCTCGTGATGGACAAGAGCAGTGTGCACAGTTAATACTCAGAAAAGGCTACTTCCGAGTGCTGTCACCTCCGGTGGCCCATTTGAATTGCACAATTCTCCTGGAACTCAGACCAGGAGGGTTTGTCATCCCCACCTTACAGAGGAGAAAATTGAGGTTCAGGATGAGTAGAGCAGACCCAGGGCTCAGACATGGATCTTTTGAGGGAACTTTTTGTTGCTTCCAAATACCTGGTAATTACAGACCTTGGGCAGGGCAGAGTGATCCCATAGTCCAACAAGGAATGAGCTTCTTATTTACCAGGTAGAAAGAGGAAACCCTTTGCTAATACAAGAGCCTTCTGTTCAGGTGAATGCCAGGCACCCTGCCAGGCTCAGGCTAGATGGGTGTTCAAAACAACACAACAAAACCAAAACCCACAAGCATCTGTCTTTCTGAGACTGAGCGGCTCTTGCATTGGTCCTAAATGACTCCCCCCGTAGCCATTCGCACACGGCTGGCAGGGAACGGGGAGGGAGGACTCTGGTTCCTCACCAGCCTGACAGCCCAACAACATTTGCCAAAAGGGACTCATTCTGAAGACTGTACTTGAGCTGAACTACATCTTAGAGGCAGTAAGTGAAGGAGCAGAGAGAGCTTAGCCTAGAAAACAAGAAGTCAGGGGACATGACAATTGTATTTAACTACTTGAAGGGTTACATGAGAAAGAAGGCTCTGGCCTGTGCTGGGTGGCATGACCATTGAAGAGCACGGTGGGAATGGCTTCTGGCCGACAAGGAGACCCCTGCCCTAAGAGTCAGCCCTGATAGAAGTGGAAGCTGGTGATCTCACAAGGTGCGCGCTCAGTGACACTGGAGGTTCAAATGGTTATTCAAAGACCAATTAGAGCAGGCAGTCAAGTATCACATGAAACTCAATCACTCAGTTACATGATCTGGAGCCGCATTCAGTCACATGCCTTCCGTCAGGGGCTCCCTGATTTGTTACTCTCCCATGTTGTTCTCCCCTGGATGAAATGTTTGTAGCCTTGAGAGATGAGGAGGCAAGCATGGCCCCTGTCTGGTAGATGGTCATCATCAGTATGATTTCCCCGAGGAAGAGCTTTTTGTTTTCACAGAGGTTCTCTTGAGCCTAATCATCAGTCACAGGGAAGGTCAACTCCCAGACACAAGAGAGTAAAATCATAAAGCCATTGCCCTGTGAGCCTGTTTCTTGTGGTCACATCAAGCTCTGGGTTCTGGCTCTGCTCTCCAGAACAGAAACCTACATCCCTGCTAGGACTTTGCGGGTCATAGGGACTCTCTCTTGGCCTTACACTGTGCTCACTTCTTTATGTACAGAATGCTGGAAAACTGCCACCGCACAGCATTCTGCCTGCCTTTTGGTTTCCATTACACTGGTTAAAATGAGCCTCTAAACTTTATCAACAAAATGACTTTCTTCAGAACTGAACAAACATAAAAACAACAATGACAGCAAAACACACCTCTCCTGGAGGTGCTGAGAGAGCCTTAGGGGTGAGCCACCCCTTCTCAGCCGCACCAAGCTTGCTCCCTCCTCAGGGGGATGGCATTTGCCATCCTTTCCACTGTGAGTGCTCCCTCTGCCCCACCAACCACAACCCTCAAGGTGGACCCCTTCTCCTTTCCTGACCACTTTATCTCATGTCCTGCCCCACCAGCTTAGTTCTTTTTCTACATAAACTTGCTTAACCCTTTGGATAATAGAAGTTGAAAAAGCACTACTTGTTCAAGATTACACACTTAGGAAATAGGTGACTTAAGTCTAAAACCCAAGCCTACTGACTTCCAAATCCAGGTCCTGTATCTTCTTCACAGCTAGCCAGTTTCTGCTAATCCAATTAGCTGATTCACTGGGAAAAACAATGTGGGATATTGTGATGCCCATGGTTGAATGAAGAGCACACAAGGGGTCACCCAGACTCTTCCAGCTCTATTTCCTTGCTCTGGAGTCTCCTGCGGACTCTCTCTCCTTAGTGTTTCAATTCCACAAATAACCTGATGAAGCACTAGCCTGTGGTAAAGGCTGCACACATGCCAGCTGTGGAAACTGTTGAGCTCATCACTGTGGATGAAGATGACAGTGTTGCAGAAAGGTCTCACATATGTTGCACATCCTATGCTCTGTCCAGCTCAAGGGGGCACCATTCACTTGGATTGCAAGTCATATGGTAGCTCTGTGTGGTATCAAAAAGGTTTTGTGGGTAAGTGAAGACTTACTCTCATTAACACAAACATGGGTATGCAGTGGAAGAGTCCCACCTCCCTTCCTCTGATCAGTTCCTAAGTCCTGGTGCTCTCTCTTGGCTGTGTCTCTCCTCTAGGCCCTTGGCCACCACCTGCCTGATTATAAGATGGTAAAAGCCTCAACTTTGCTTCTCAAAGTCCCTGTGGATTCTGTTGCTCAACTCCAATCATGTCATATTCATGGCCAGGAACTCTTCATAGTTGGAATTATCTGCCAAATAAAGTTCACCTTACTTAGTGAGGAATCCAAGGCCCTTTGTACCAACCATCTCTGCCCTCATCTCAGACGTTCCTCCCGGCACTCTACAAAACCGGAAAATGTTATGCCCAGCATTCCGTACTCACTTATTGCCAGCATATAGTAACTTTCTTTCCCTTACCTCAATACCTTTGCTCATGCTGTTTTCTCTTTTGGACATCAGTAACTCTTATCTCCACACATCCAAACCCTAGCAGTTCTCAAAATCCAATTAGAATACTGCCTGATTTGCTAAAGAGGGTGCTATCTCTGCCACCTCTGCTATCTGCACACTCTGCATATCCATCCTTTGGGGGGCACACCGGGCCTTTGCCTTGCATTCTGGTCTGGTACTGTTTCAACTTCCTCTACCTTCTCCAGGACCCCAAGTCAACTAGAGAGAGCACATTCTCTGGGGATAGAGACCAAGCCTGATTCATCTCATCTTCCTACCCTGCACTTAACACAGGGCCACGTTTGAAGCTTAGCAAGCACCTGTGTCGTGACTGAATTAAAAAACATAATCACTGGGACATTTTGTTGATTTATTTTTCCTCCTTTGTCTTTGGATATCTGTTTTGCATTCAGTACAAAGAAGCTTAACTGAAATAATAAGACTATAAATAAAAACAACCTAAAGTACAAAGCATAGTGATTCCAACGTTGTGTTTAGTAAGTTTGGCTATCTCTTTGAATAGGGAACATGTAGAAGTGTGCTGTAGAATCAGAAGGATTGGATATGTGCTACAAGACTATCTCAATACATACAGGATGTTAGAGGCACATTGGCACACTAGAGTAAAGATCCTCCCAGGAAGATACTCAACCCAATGGAAGAGAGAATTGAGGTAAGCAAACTTGCTTAAAAACACAGCACTAGAAATACAGAGAGCAGGGGCAAAGTTTGAATATAACTGGATGTTTATTTTTCAATGTGTTCTCTGGTTTCACCATAACTTTAGTAACTTTTGCAAGGGACTAGGAAGAGAAAGCCACAATGGAAAAGGAGATGATAGAGATAGAGATAGAGATAGAGATAGAGATAGAGATAGAGATAGAGATAGAGATAGAGATAGAGAGAGAGATAGAGATAGAGATAGAGATAGAGATAGAGATAGAGATAGAGATAGAGATAGAGAT